AGTGCTTGGGCTGGATGAAGACCAAAGTCATCCAGGCAAAGCCTGTTTTGGTTTAGTCAGCACAGAGAGAGAAATGTGAAGTCAAAGTTGCTGTTTGCAGGGTGTACAAGAAATCAAGGTATTCACATCACAGGCTATTAATGTGAAAACAGAGTCCAAGACTGTTCAAGAGTGTGGTTTGCAAACTCGGATGAATTTAGTCTGCCCCTGCTTTTGAGGAAGAGGTCCATAATAAATCTGATGCTCTTATGTATTAATCTAAAAGTCTGTAGGTGACAGTGGAGGTTATATTTTGGATGTTCATGCAGTGTGGCTTGCTGTTGGGGTAGCTACTCCTGTCAGTAGCTTAGCTATGCTTTTGCACAGGAAAATCTGTGTGTAATAGTTCCTGTTTGTCTCCTACACTTGCTGCAGAATTTGCTGGATGTTAGGGTTGCTACCAGACTTTTAGTTTGACTTTGTTAAAATCGTACACAGTAAGTGTTAAGTGTGGATTCAGCCCTGCCCTGATAGATTTGCTTCCTCTGAGCACCTGAGTGATGCCAGATTTGTCACCAATGCCACCAGTAGAATATCACAAACATTTGTTTGGGTTAAGTAACTATATCAATTAAAGCATGGTAGAAATAGGGTTATGAAGTCCACAAGTTGATCATTTAGTGACCAGCCTGATTATAGCACAGTACATTTCTGTCGAGTTGGAGAGCACCCTCCAAAGGCTCATGTGTAGCCTCAGAGCAGTAGGGTTTGGAAACACTGTGTTGGATATTGGACTTGTGCAGCTGTGAGATTGTTTCTGCTCTTTGTTGGATGAGGACATTCTTGTGGACCTGTGAGTATTTGAGAGCTCTGACTTCTCCTTCCGTGGACTCTAGTGGTCCTGTTGAAATGCCGTGTTAAGTCTGTCTTAACCAACCTTACCCGAGGAAGTGAAGTAAACTTTGATGGAAGGGATTGGTTCATGTTTAATCTTTATCTCGATGCTATTTGTATCACTGATACCATCAAAGATTGTTGCTTATTGTATTGATTAGATCATTGCATTGAGAATTTTTTCTCCTTGTGTATTTCTTGTCACCTGTAGTCTCGTTTTGCTGTGGATTCGAAAACTGTTTAGGGAAGGATGGCCAGTTTATTAAAAACTGCCTTTGTCCAGCACAGATGAGCTGGTATTTTTTTTTCAGGAACCATAATGAAAATTAACTGTGTAATCATCTAAATAGCATCCAGACACTGATGAGAACATGTTTAAAAATGTAACAGTCAGTTTACTTAGAGTATTTGATGCAGAATGCCAGGCCTTAAGGTAGGAACTAACAGCAGCGTTCCGACATCCAAGCTGAGGTTGCCAAGAAGCCAAGAGCCAGGCTCTTTATGGAGGTGTGTAGCAGGAGGATGAGACAGTGGGTTTTAAATTGCAAGAGCAGGTTCTGACATCATGGCAGAGGGGAAGAAAAAATCCTCACTGAAGTTGGTCAGGCATTGAAGCAGGAGCCTGGAAAGGCTTGGATCCACCAACCTTGGAGGTTTTCAAGAGCCAGCTGTACAAAGCCCTGAGCAGCGTGGTCTGAATTTGATGTTGACCCTGCTTTGAGCAGAGGGTGGACTGTAAACCTCCTGAGGTCCCTTCCAGCCTGAACGATTCTGTAATTCTTTGTTTAGATATGATGAAAATGAGTTGCTTTAAAATACTAGTGTTCTGGGTAGAATAGCAGTGTTTTGACATCTTGCAAAGGTATGTGCTGATGCCAGAACTTGCTACGTGAAAAAAAAAAAGTTCAGGAGTTATTTAAAAGGACCTAGAATATGTTGTTTCTCTTGTTTGTATTGAAAGATACTTAATGATGAAGAGTCATGTAGCCATGGAAATAAAAAGTTTATGAATAAAAAATATGCTTGTTCCGAATGTAAGCTATTGTTAGTCAAAAATACTAAGTGGAAATGGATATTTACTCTTGCATGTCTTAAAGGTTTGCAAATTGGCTTTTCATGAGGAGGTGGAGGACTGCAAAGCTGAAATAGAATAAATTAAAGACACCCCATGGATTGGCACTTAAAACAAATGTGTCATACGTGTAATCTGTTGTTTACTAGGATGTTACACAAAGTAAAATTAATTTAACTTAACTGCAGGTGGTATTGGTATCTAAGGAACTGGCGAGCCTTGTTCTCAGCGAGGTTAAACTTTTTTTTTTTTTTTTTCCCCTTCCATTTTTCAGGTTGCTTCATTTCATTATATTTTGTGCTCGCTTCTGGAGAATATATAACTCTGCAGCATACCTAGCAAGCATGTAAATCCTTTGGCCCTAATCGTATGAGGAAAACAGAAGGGGAAAGACTTATATGTGTGCATTAAGCATAACCTCTGAATTTTACGTACAGGTGTAGAGTTTTTTTTAATGTGAAAGCTCACGTAGTTATTTAAACTCCCAAGGATGGTATCTACAATAATTTTAACATCAAAATAATCTTGTTTCTGTCTTTTTCTGCTAGGTGGGGAAGTTAAGATACGCAGTTCTGTACTGTTTGCTGTGTTTTGCTTATGGAGATTTTAAGGTCCTTTGTTCTCCATATGGGAAAAATACAGTTAATTGTTTGCACTGATGTTATTCTTCACTCAGATCAGGTGTAATTTTCCAGTGTATGTGCAGAGTTAAGTTTGTTTAATTTTTGTGCTGTTACTTAAGACTACTTACAGTTTGAGTGTCAGGATGAAGGAATATTTCTCAACTGTAAGGAGTGAAAAGCATGTCTCCTGTTCCCTTTCTCCCCAAAAAATCTTTCATGAGCTGGAGTCCTTGGAGGAAGATACCCCTTTGTCTGGGTATGTGCGTGTTGTGTTTGAACAACTACTCCAAAAGACAGTGGTTGTTACCTAGTATGGTGTGAATCGCCTGCGGAGTTTCTTGTGATGAATAGCCCAGAGCAGTCCTTGTCTCTGACACTGTCCTGTATTTACAGTGGTACCGACTGTGGGACAGACTTACAGTAGTGCTTCTTCAGGTACTATAGTTTATTTTCAGATAAACAGAAATGGATCCTGTCAAGTCAGTATCACACTTGTTCCAGTACTCTGATTTCTTACCCTGAGCATACATCTTAGAGCATGTTTATATAGTGAGTGTCATAAATGTTTTCAAACATTGCAGGTAAGTCATAACACTGCCTGGCAGGGATCCTGCCTAGTATTTGCCCAGCGGCAGGCCTGTGGGTTTGGTTGGTTTTTTTTGGACAAACCGCTTCAGGTTGGCAAGTGCTGTTGAAGCCATGGTCCCTTGCAAATGCTTGTAGTAACGCAGGCCTACAGCCTGGAGCCTGCCATTGTTTGTCTTCATAAGTAACAGCACCCTGCAGTGATGGGACGGGATGGTTTTTGGGTGCAAACGTGGAGGTCTGTTCTAGGTAGACCACCATGGGCGTGTTTTGCATTTTCTGTCCAAAGTAGAGCCAGTTACCTTGAAATTCAAGCAACGAACTGTAAAGAGAGCATTGCTCTGTGCAAAACCCAACCCTTTGCTCTTTCAGCCGTGGGCATTTTTACCCTCTGAGAAGGTTCTTCTATTGCTGCAAGTAACTTTTCAGGCTGAAGTTGTCTGTGTTTCAAGAATTAAAAACTCAGTTAATTTAAACAGAACGTATTTGCACAACAAGGAGCTGCAATAGTCATCAAAAGGAATCTGCCAGTCTACCCATTTCAGTCTAGGGACAACATGGTAAAATGGGGGAGAATGTAGATAACCAAACAACAGTGATATTTAGGGATTGGGGCTGTTTGTGGTGGGATTTTGTTGAAGATGGGTGATGTGAACTTAAATTTTGGCCTAGTGACTGTGTATTTTGGATTTTGTTGTTGGTGGTGAGGATTTAAGGCTCCTAGTCCTTCCATACACCAGCTTGTGCTTGGTTTTCATTAGCACTTTTCCGTTAGTTAAAAGTTTCAACCGACCTACTTCTTTTTTGGATTTTTTTCCATGTTTTATTTTGTGTTTTTGAAGGTTGTGGCCCTTTTCCACAAGTTTGAGTGGTGAATATACTTACAGAAGGGAAAAGAAATTACACCTTCCTTTTTTCTGGTTTTCCGTCTGTTTGGAAGTGCTAGATAAAGTGTTGGCGTTTTGATTTTCTGTATGCTTGACCTTGATATTATTGCAGTTTTTCATGTTAAATTGGATTCTGTACTTAACAGTAAAAGATTTCAGAAGCAGAGGAGTTGGGTGTAACACCAGTGTGACTAGCTGAGTGATGCCTTTTACTCCCTGCTGAGCTCTTCTGCATTACACTGGGCAAACTGCTCGCAGTCACGCTGTACCAAGCCTGAGCTAATGTTACGTTTTTCTCTATAAGACTAATTGGTTTTGCCTGGGATTAAAATCAAAATTTTGAAAATGTTACTGTATAGCATGTTCCAGCACTTCCCACTGGAAGCATTGTAGATCTGAGAGGCCCGTTTGCTGTAGATTTCCACTCCAGAGAGGTTTAGACTTGAATACAGATATTTGGAGACTGAGTTAGTGTATTTTCTCAGGTTCCCTACACCCTACCCTCCATCGTTTCAGCCTTAGCTGTGCATAGTCATGCTGAACAGCAATGTTTGCCTAACTGCTGTGCCCATGTATCTGTGCGCAATGACAGTGATTAGGAAGAATGGCACATAATGTGTTTGCTGTTGGTCAAATTAATTCATCAATAAAAGATAATCTGCACTGCAGCAGGAGGAAAAAAAAAAAAAAAAAATATGCAAACACCAATTAAAGAAACACCAGAGCAGTTTTAAACACAAGTGCTCACCGAGGGTAGTGCCTACACGAGGGTGTATTACCTGCCTGTGAAGCATAACAAGTTACAGAAGGCAGGGCCATTACTTGCAATAGGGAATTAACTCCTACAGATGTGTTTATAGTCTTGCCGTGTCAAGTCTCCTTATTTCATGTCCTGCTTAACAAGTGTGTTTCACATTGGATTGTCCAGCTTTTATTTCATTGCTGTGTTCCCGTTTTCAGGCTGAAGCAAGACTCGCAGCGAAGCGAGCGGCACGGGCAGAGGCACGAGAGATCCGAATGAAGGAACTGGAAAGGCAGCAGAAAGAGGTACAGTCAAGGCTTCGGGGGGTGTTTTGATCATCTTCTTTCCCAAGTATGATTTGAGATCCTGGAACAAAGGGTTAATCTATATTTTGTTGAAATATTAATAGTGTGTATGGAACTGAAGCTGGTCATAGAATAGCAAATAAAATAGCCTGGAAAAAATACAGACTGTGGCAAGAATTTTATCTTGGTGTAGCCATTATAATTATTCACAGAAAATACCGGTGGTTAGTTAGTAATCATTGTTTAATATTAAACTTTGAAGTACGCATCTTTGCGTGTGCGTTTGGGGGGTGGATTCTTATCGCTTTGTTAGAAGTCTAATGAATATGGAAGACTCTTGGCACTTGTATAACTCTACTTGTAAGTCGTTTTGCTTTGTCCCTGTGAAGCTGACATTGTGGTCTACCCCGTTTTGTAAAAATGGTGGTCTGCTGTTGGCAGAAGTAATGATAGAAACTGAATTTGGCAAAACATTACCTTTGCCAAAGTGTTTGGATTAAATGCCTGGTGTAGTCTCCCAGATTATGGAAGAGCTAGTTGTTTTATATCAGCAGCAAAGCTACTGTGCCTCTGCATGTTAATGTGTGGGAGATCATGGGCTTCCAGTGTAGGAATGATCTTAAAGACCAAAAAGGCTTGTTCTGCTCCTGCTCTATTTGACAAGTAGGAGCTGCACTAAATGTCGCTCTTCTCTGGGAAACTGAGAACAGCATTTGTTTTGAAGCTCTAGAAGCTAAACTAGTGCTATTACAATGGGGCTGCAAGCATGGGTTGGCACAGGTGGGCTGAACCAGAAAGGCTTAAAATTTGTATTTGTTGATGTGCATTCAATGAAACAGCAGAGTAGGTGCATCAGGGCCAACAGTAATTTTTATTTTTTTTTTTTTTTTACATAGATTTTGAAGGGAAGGTAAGGAATAAGAAGTTTCGGGTCAGGGTGTAGGAATACATACTAAAAGTAGATGTACATCTGTCCTTTAGGGTGCAGAGAAGGATTCAGTTTAGCTTTTAAACAGTGAACTGGGATGTGATAGCTGACTATATCTGTGCAGGTTGCAGTAATCAACCTGCAAAAGAAGCACTTGGGCAGTGTGCCCAGGCTCAGCTTTGGGCTGGAGTGTCTTGTCTAGTTGAGGCACGTCTGGATGTGTTGTAGCACCCTGTAGCCACAGCAGAGTTAGAGGTACCTGCAAATACACCAGGAGTAAGTGCTGCGGGGAAGCGTTGCTGCAAGCACAGTGCCTGTGGAAGAGAGGAGCCTTTCTGCTACAGCTGCTGCCTTTTGAAGGATGTTTCTTGCAACCTGGACCACAGTCAGAAGGCCTGGACTGCAGATAAGGATTGGTACTGTCAAGCTGCCTCCTATGCCTACAGCCTGAGTGATGGGACTTGTCGAGCAGCCTTTGGAAGATCTGTGGTAAACAACCACTAGGTGTTTTGTTTGGGGAGCAAAGTAAATGTGGGTGTCATGGCAGCTGACAGTGGTGTTGCCATCTAATTTGCAGATAACTTTAATAGAGCTGATGACCTCTTTGAAGATTAAAAGCTGATGCTGCAAAGGGTGTCCTAGTAAATTGAAATTCTGATATGAAAACTAAAGCTTGTGTGCGTGCTCCTGCAGTTAATAGCAAAGAGCTAGTGATCTGAAAATGTGTGAAAATTTCTTTGTAGAGATAGAAATTGAATAGTATAGGATGTTGCTCTGAAATACCAAATTCAGTGAAAGCTAAGCCACATATCTACTGCAATCTGTTTTGTAATTCGTTGGCATAAATGACATAACGCTACTACACATTTATTTACTATTTTGCAAGCTTGGATATTCTGTAACTTTTTCAATCTCAGCCCCCAGATGCAAGGTAGAACAAGTAAAGATGACTGCAGGAAGTTTTTCATTGCCACAAGTATCTTGCAGAAATAATAAAAGAAAACATAAATATAGAAAATCCCAAGCAGTGATCAACACAAGAGGTTTGGCACCTACACCTTCCTTGGAGGAGAATGTACTGTGATACTGGTGTCTGTACTGCTAGTTGTCTGCCATCTTTTCCTTTGCTAACTTCTCAGAGAAATAAATAGCATGTTTCCACTGTTGCCATGCTGAATAACCAGAACTTAAAGCAAGTGCTCTGCTACTTCAGAAGTCTCTTTAGAGTCAGTTATGGGAGTTAAAAAGCAATAAATAAATTTATTGCATGTGTGTGTACTTGTTCGTGCTTAAACCAGTGTACATGCCCTGACAGGTTTCTTGTGGAGCATTGATTACTTGAGAATATATTTACATTGTTGGTCTGGATTAAAAGTTTCCAGATGCTTCTTTTACAAGCTATAACTGTGGTGGTATAGCTTTTGCTGGCAGTGACGTAGTATGTTTTAATATTTTGGATTTAGACTGAAAATTGTCATTGATCTGGTATTAATGACATTTCTTAATTTTGTGCTTAATTTTCTTCATTTTCAAATAATTGGGTGACTTCTGCATCATGAGTTTACATATGTGTTTTAGTTAATGTTCTGCTTGCCATTACAAAAGAAATATCAATGCAAAAGCAACAGGTATCTGAGATTTTGTTCTGAGTGTTTCTATAGGTAGAATGAGCAACAACTTCATTAGAAAACTATTAAAACTCCCTGTGCTGGTTCTGTTGGCTAGCCATATCTGAAGAGTGCACCAAAGATTAGTCACAACTGTGCAGTAAAGTTCATAGGTAAATGGTGAAGACTACACGATGTCATACCAAGCTCTTCTTTTGGCAGAAGTTATTTCATGTCAAACACATAATTGACAGCAGAAATTGCTGCATGGTCTGTTCTTTCAGAAATTTAAAATTATATTCATCATCAGCTGCACTATTGGTAAGCTCCTTTCGAGTATGATGAGAAGCTCATGGCAGACAGTGTGGCTTTAGGTGATGGTGAGCGCACTGGCTGCGTGTGTGGGCTCCAGCCCTTGCTCAGCTTGTGCTGCCATACCTCTTGCCAGTGGTTGCTGCTACTCAGCTTGTGTCTTGTGTGCTTGGAGGGATAGCTCTATTAAACTTGGTTTGAAATACAAGGTGACTCAAAGAATTCTTCTGGAAACTTAATGTGAAACAACATACTGCTGTAGTAGAACAATAGTTGCAGAAATTATATAGCAGAAATAGATGGGCCTCTGGAAGAAAAGACTTTGAATTGCAGTATGAGATGTGGGAAAATTACTGTGAAAGGCTGCTGCTGTTCGCTGTGGTGGGGCAGGATTGCAGGTGTGTTCCACAGGTGGTATCATCTCATCACCTGGCATCACCTCATGCCAGGCAGCAGAAAGAAGGATAAGTGTGCCAGTGCTTTGGGGTTGGTGTTTTGGATTTGTTTTGGTTTGGTGGTTTGTTTTTTGGTTTTTTTTCCCCAGGGAGGAGAGCGTGAATAAAAGCTTAACAGGAAAGTATAAACTAGGCAAATAAAAAGTGTTTTCTGAAGCTGAAGAAAATGAATACAAGAATTGTGATCTAATGATCAATGATCAAGAATCGTATGCTAATTTATGAGGATAAGGGTAGTGATCACTCTTGAATCACATGTATGTGTATATACTTCTGTATTTACCTCAGAATGGATTCCTGGTCATGAGGCTCTAAGAAAGGCATAGATCTAATAAACAGAACTCCTTGAATGTTTCTGACTTCTTATTCTGTGATGCTTTGTTGTTGTTATCCACCAAAGATGTAAATAATTAATCTGGAGGTCACAGTAGGTTTTCTGGTATGCTTCTATGCATAGTAAGTCAGTACAGGAAAGCTCTCATGAGGCAGTGCCAGTGTGTGATCTAAGCTGCAAGGACAATTATAATAGGTAGTACTTGCTCCCTTGTCCGTTTCCATACCACTGGTACCCCAGCCAGCTGGTGGGAGTCAGAGCAGTGATGTGTCCTATGTTTTTTACCATACCGTGCTGCCATGGTCTTTAGACTCTGCAACTGTGAACATGGCTTAAGGCCAGTCTGTTTGGCTTGTACCAGAGAGTTGTGTTTGGTACTGAGACAAATGCTCATGTGCATTCAGGTACTTATTTTTAATTCATGTAGAAGAGCAAGTCGGGAGTTGTCAGCTCAGTTTTTTTGAGTAACAAATTGTTAATTCTCATGGGGCTACCAGCTAAAACAGAGAAAAATTTTCTTAAAAGCTTGGCATGAGATACATTAAAACCTTTTCCCCCAAGAAATATTTAACAGTGGTGTTTCAAGACACATAAAAGCTGTAACATTAGGGCTAATTGTAGAGAATGTTTTATGTAGGAGTACCTTCTGTGTGTTCTGCTGGCAAGACTTTAAATGTCTCTTCGAGGACTGACACTTGGAGACCACAATTTAAGATGATATTAGTGCCTGAAGTGAAGAGAGAATGATCTCCTCCCACTCCTTAATCTGCAGGATAAGATTCTTCCTTGCCAGTTCACACAGCAGATGAGCCTGTACTTCTAGTTCACGGCAAGTGCATTGTGTTGTCTCCTAAGCTTTGTTTTCACAGCACAAAACTTGCCTTTGCTATTTTGTAAATTTGTTCTTTACTAGCATACTCATTTGCAGGTGCTTTTCCTCCTTTGGATTCATATTTCTTTGGAATTAAATATGTTACCAGTACTTTCTGTTGTGGATTTCTTTTTTTTCATGTCAGTTCCTTGAGGATGTAGTAAATTTAGTAAAGGTACTAAAGCCAAGTTAATGGGGGCAAAAGACTTGCAAACACTCTTGATTTGCTCACCCATCCTGTTGACTATGACTTAGACCCCTCCTTTCCTTCCTAGGAGTTGGTGCCCACAAGTGTGATCTGAGTCAGAGGGTCCCATGACACAGCTGACATTTGGGGTTGTTTGAAGCCATTTAAAATCTCAGGTAGTGCAGGAAAAACTAGAGGAAAAAGTAGAATTCTTGTAGCTTGAATGGGAGGGGAGAGAATGATGATGAAATTTGGTGCTTACATACACAGGGAAGAAATTAAGGTTTGTGATGGTTAATCTGTATCTTTCTTATAAAACCAGTGTGAAGATGCACAGGAAAATTTGACGTTGAAAGTGTTTTTACTAGACTGGATTTCTGCCTTCAGCTGCCATCTAACCATGCTTCACTGCCTTGTTCAGCCCTGTTCTGAAGTTATTTCTATGAAAAACTTTATTTTTGTGGGGAACCCCATGTGATGAGGAAATCAGGAAGCAGCCTGCCAGTAATACCATGGACAAAACACTTTTTTTTTTTTTTGGTCATACCATAATACAAGAAAGTGTTATTTAAAGCATTTGACTGCTTAGATGTCTATTAACTCTTAAGATCTTGGGGGCAGGCATATTTGCAATAAGAGATTATTGTTTGAAAGTGTTTATTTCCTCCTGTAACATACTGTTTGAGAGGACAGTACACTGATGAGAGATCAGTCACTTTGGAGCAGAACTGTTGGAGCAGAACTATTGTAATGCCTGGTAGCTAATGGATGACCCAAAAATTCCAGGTTTTGTAAAACACCAGAACAGTTATGATGATGCACTTGGCTTCATCCCTGTGCCACTCTCCACCACCCTCCACGGTGTCTGGCCCTGAACAAGGGCCTTGTTATCTTATCCATTGGCAATATGGGTCCTGGACACAAGACTTCTTGTGTGTCTTGCTTTGTACTCAACAGGAATACCTTCTATGCCAAGTCTGAAGCATTGGGGTTTGAAAAATAAGACTGCCATAGTATTGCTTTGAAGCATGGGTGAAACAACGGCACTGAAAAGTTGAAGGTTAAACAGCTACATGGTAATTGCCACATCTAAACCAGTGGTGTTTGGCTTTGGTGTCTGGATGAAAGGCACTGTGTGAGTGTAACGGAGAAGCAAAAGATTGGAGTCGGCATGTAGTCTTGAGAACTGTGGGAGACTTTAGTCAATTTTCCTCTTCAGGGTTTTCTTAGTAAAGGGTAAGCAAGGTGATTAGTTGTGTGGGAATGCCAGTTTTAAATGTGCATCTTAATTTTCCCCCCTGTGCTCACAGGAATAAATACCTCAGAGGTATTAAGCTGGGGTCTGAAGTTGTCCTTCACTATCACAAAGAGGAACCTGATCAGGAGGGCAGGGACTGAAAGAAGTACACTCTGCTTCCCAGCATTGACATCTGGATTGACCTGAGGTGGCACAGAAGAGCAGTGTATGGCAGGGATCCCCTGCATATTCCAAAATACAGGATACTGACCAGCTAAGGGTTGGAGTCAGAGCTACCTACTGATCCCCCTGGGTTGTACTCGTAGGGCAGAGGGCTTGTGTTGGTATTTATTCAGCATCAATGCTTATCTGGGAAGATAAACAGTAAGGCAGCTGAGGGCTTTCAGACCAGGGCTGTGTTACATTTCCTACAGATACAAAGGTAGGTGTTCAGCAGAGAAGTGGGCAGAATGAAGCTGCAAATTCTTTCTGGATCTGTGTTGCCAGTTAGATGTTTTTGAACAAGAAGGGTTTCTTGCTTCAGAAGTGCTAGGACATATGCAAGAAAAAAACACATTTTCTGTTCACGTGTGGATTTATAAAGCTGATCAGTCAAGGACAGTTCTTCACTTAAACGAAATTCAGATGTATTAGAGTGGCTGTAATGCTTTTGCGTATTACTAAAATGGTTCAAGACCATGGAACAGCTTTGCATTTGGAGTCAGCAGTGCATTTATTAGGGCCTGCAAATGATGTGAGGCTCTGTGGAAACATTAACAATTGAAACAGCAACCTGCAGATCCTTCCATGCTGGCAGTATACGTGCAAGAAATTTTCAGAGTTTTAACAAGCTGATACTGTGCTGTACACTGCTTACACTGCTGCTTTCACTGTGAGTGAAAGATGTATAGCATTGATGCTTTTATAACTATGCTTCATCAGTTAAGGACAAAATTTATTCTTAAGAACAGATTTTCTCTAGTTAATGCTATTTGCTTTTTATTATGATGGTAGATGCACATCTGTCACCCCAGGTGAATATTTGGGCATCCATTACTTTGAAGGAGGGAGGCTGGAAAAGCGAGAGGTCCTAGCTCACACCGGGGTTAGGCTCTGCTCTGGTGCAAAGTCTAGGGAGCAGATGTTGCATGTGCCTCTGAGAGCCTAGTGGTTATGAGAACAGGAATGCTGTGTTCGAGCTGTTCTTATGGAGGAGGCCTAGAATGTAAACAATGCTTTCATTCTACTTAATTCTACAGGGCTTTGATGTGCACTTTTTTGTATTCATGTTTTGCTATATATTCTGTATAAATGTTTTTTTTTTCCCCCCTTTAGAATGATTAATGAAATATTGCATTGCTATTTATTCATTCATGCTAGCTTTTGTTTCCTTGTTTCTTTCCTTTCCCTTTTTCCCTAGATCTATCAAGTTCAGAAGGTAGGGCTTGCTCTCTTTCATTCTTGTTTGCATGTGTTCCCACATTACGGGTCTTGCTACTATTTCAGAAGAACCTCTAAGGAATGGAGGATGCACAGCAGGCTTGGTATTTCCATGCAATTCCGCCCTTCCCTCCCATAGTCTTGTGAGGGGGATAATAAAGGGTAGGGGTGGAAGATGACCTGTGTAAAATGGGTCTTGTCAGGCACTTAATATAATTTTTTCTACAGACCGTTTGGCAAAGAATAAGCACTAAGCAGAAGAGTAGTGCCATCAAGGCACTACCAGCCATCATAAGAGGGTGTGGTGGCTCCACGTGTCACCAGGAACCATACGAACATCTGTGTGTTAGAAGGCCAAGAGTATTGCTGAAAATATTTCAGGCTGGGCAAGAACTTAACACGTGCCAGCAGAAAGCATGACTTTCAGATTACTTCGCAGAAAGTCACTGAAGTAAACACTGCATTTGAATTTATAATCTTTTGGTAAATGTATGACCTTTCTTCCAGTGTGACCTAAGCATTATAAATGCTTTTATATTGTTTAATCCTCTCTTACCTCGGTTTAAAGTCATGATCTCTTCCCTCCTCCCAATTTCCTTTTCATAGTTCCAAGTGATGTCAAAGATGATGATGATGATGATGATGATAATAATAGCTCTAACTGAGGTCACTTGCTATGTAACAATAGTTTTGGGTTTTGTGTTACAATGTTTGACTGTTCTGTACTTCTAGCATGTGAATTATGTAGCACCTAGAAAGAGAAATGGCTCCAAAGAGATTTTGCAGGGAGGGAGAGAGCATCTGTTTCTTAAAGCCTGCCATTTTATACTCTAGCAAATATATATCTTTTCCCTGAGATGTTTTTATTGCTTGGTAAATGATAAATGTCTCCTAAAACCACAGCTTGTTTGTTTTTGTTCTGGCACTCCAGCTGACTTAACTGCATGTTTCACTCGCTTGACCTAGCAGTGCATGTGCTTCTTGGAAATGCTGTTCTCCTCTTCAAGCACATAATGTGTATGAACATAGCTACTCAAATCATGTGCTCTGGTATTTAATCCTGACCCCATCAATTTGGCAACAAATATATCTTACTCTTGTTTTTATTTGTGGAGTTGAGTACATACTGAGGGACTCAAATTAACATCTGCCCATGGATCAACAGGCTCGTTATCAATCTCCTTTATAGGAACTAATTTAATCCTCTGGTACAAACGCAGCCCCATGGGAGACAAGGAGGTTGTTTACTGTTGGTGTCCTGACATGGATGAGAAGATAAGTGGGTTAGCCTCACAACATCTCATAGTGAGTTTGCAAGTCTAGCAGTTTCACTGTCACGTAGTGAGCAAATCTGATCTAGAATTCTCTCTCAATGGTATTAATGTCCTTAATTATTTAATTCTAATATCACTTTTCAGGGTAGAAGGGAACTTGAGTCTGGCAAAGGCTTTTAACTAAAACCCAAATGAATGGATAAGCACAATTTCTTCCTTTAACCCATGTGGCCATTCAAACCAGGCCCCTTGGGGCAGAACAGAAGAGTTGGCATAGAGAAAGAAATGGGAAGTGGCTGAGAGGGCAAAATACTTGAGACTTCAAATGCTGCCAGTTCAGTCCAGTGTGAGACATGCTGTCTAAAACATTATAAATTAAAAATAGTTTCAAGGCAATTGCATTCATTAATATCTCCGAAAGAAAAATGTTAAGCACGTAGCCATGTAATTTGAGATGGTGGAGGAAAATACTGTAAGTGGAACTTGTGACTTTGCAAGTCTTGTAAGGGGTATTTCCTTGCTTACCTTTTGCAAAGCTGAATTCAGAAGCCTATGTCAGAAAGTAAGGAGAACAGAGGTCAGGAAAAGGAAGCAGCAGACCTTACAAAAGTTATTAGCATCTTTATGGATCCTTCCTATGTGTGAGAAAGGATTCTCCATTTTCTTAGTGTTTTGGGATTTTTTAAATTGGTTTCTGGTGTTAGAAAATGTTATTTATCTTTTTGGGAGCAGGGGGAACCTTTAATAAGGCTTTATCTGACCTGATTAACTGCAAAGCATATAATCAGTGGGTTCTGATCATGTACATAATCCTGACCAGCTGGAGTTTATACAACTTTCAGGAGTCATTTTCAGGATGTGATGTACATAAAACTTCATTTTACAACAGGCTGTTGTATGTGTTATGCTTCTGCCTGGAAGCAACTAGTCTGAGCACTTGTGAGGAAGTATTTAATGCTTGAAGAAACAATGGTGAATGTCATGCACTCTAATTTCATGTAGTTTAAGGGAGAAATTTCACTTGTGTGCAATTTGGCTAGGCATTGTATAGGGCTGTTAGATGTATTTGAGCACATGCTGAGATGCTTTGCAGAGGGGAGTGCTTCCCTCTTCTCATAGGGATGTGGTTAAAGAGCTTGTTGAACTGTTGTCTCTTTTCCTTGTTTCAGAGAGGTGTTTGCATACTATTTAAATCTGTACTGCAGTGAATTTCTTTCCTGTTTTCAAATTACTGGCCTAGAAACTTATTATCTAATATTTTTCCTAATAAATGGGATTGCTCTGAGTTCCTGCCTTTTCCCAGTTTGGCCCCAAAACTGACAGCATTTAAAGGTCATTTTACACTGTGGGCTCTCTAGGATGTGTGACTGAGAACCCCGCTGCCTATGTTACTTCGTAACAGGCTTTCTTCTCTCCAGAGCTGTTAAGATGAAAATAAAGATGACCTTAAAGTGAAAATAATTTTGTTATTTAATGAGGAATAACTCTAAAGTGGGAATAAACTGATACAGTATCAAAGAACAGACAGCTGTTTTATTCTAGTTTATTAATAAATAATGAGATTTTTAAGGGTGAATGTGAAATTACATTGATACCATTGAAAGAGTGCTAACAGATTTCTGATTTTTTTCTTTTTTTTTAAACATTAACTAAGGTTTTGACTGTTGATACTCCCACCTCCTCAAGCCTCTGGGAAAGCTGACAAGTACAGGCTTGTTTTTTCCACAAATACGTGAATCTCAAAGCACATAATCTACATATTTCTAAAGTACATAATATGCTTCCTTAAGCAGGATTTCCATTTGCCAATTACTGTACTTTAGGCCGGTAATTTTTCTTTGCACGGGAATGTTATGGTCACCATTATAAATGCAAACATCCTGAGACTAGATTTGAAGCACGTGTTTGGGGAGGAAGAAAAGTCCTGCTAAACTTGTGGAAATTTGACCAATCTGCTGTCTGGCGGAAACTTCATTGGGAAGTTCCCAGTGTTGTGCAAAGAAATGATGAACTGAGGAACAGTTCAGAAGAGACATTCTGCTAAGAAAATGCATGGCATTTGGTACTGAAATGCAGAGAGCTTTCCAGTGTTGCCTGCATTGTGAAGCATGTCCTCTGCTATCCTTCGTGGTGCTACCAGCACTGTTGAGATGGTTGAAGCATAGGCAAAAAGCCTTGTGCTCCGAAAAGGCACGTTGGGCAGTTCTGAATACAACGAGTAAGAATGCACAGAGATTAGTTGTGTTGTATTCAACTTGTCTTCCCGGTTTGACAAATCTATATGGTAAACATGATTTGACAGCATTTTTCATCCTGAAAGTGTTCTGCATTTGGATCCCTTGTAATGAGTCTTGACTTAAATGGGTCAGGAATTCAAGACTCATTACACTCCTTGTTCCTGTCCCCACAGCACTGGTTTTTTTTTACAGTGCTGAGAAAGAAGAAGCAGTTGAGTACCCTGGCTGTACCCCAAACACCCCTTTCCCCTTTCCTGGGCACATGCTGCGGAGGGCTCTGGTGGCACTCAGCACGGCTTTTCCCTGGCATGTTTGTATGTGTGTGTGTAGCTGTGTGACTCAGCCAAAACCTGGCAATGCATGTCTAAATGTTCTGTGTTTGACTTTCTCATCTAAATTCTGTTTTTTCCCTTTTCTGTCTGTAGAAATATTATGGTCTGGATACTAAATGGGGAGACATCGAGCAATGGATGGTAGGCCTTGATCAATGTAGCTAAACAACTTTTACCTGTTGAAGTTTTGTATAGTTCATAGAGTTTGAAATCCCACAAAGTAGGTATTTTCATGTATTGGAAATGTGAATTCCACTCTTATCACAAGGATTCTTGTAGTCTGCATCAATGTGGCTTATGATCAGCTTAAAACTGGCAAGGGTTTGGTTAGAGCCATCTCTTTTTACAGACCTCTGTCTCTACTCTTATCACCTGAAGATTAGCTTAGCATATAGACCTGTGATACAAGGAATATATGTACTCATTTTACTTCTCATGGATTTTGTTATGATTTCAGTCTTCTCAACTCTGCCTTCAGGTAAATTTTGGGCAAGTTTTATCCATGCTTCTTCAGTTACCTTTGTAATTAGTGGTCCAGGGGTACTCTTCAGATGCATTATTATTGCTACTATGGCAATGCTCACTTTTTCTGTTAATACAATGTCCTGGATTTTACTATTTACCAAGACAGTGAGGTTGATATCAGATATAGACTTGGCCATTAGTAACATCTGGCTGAAACGAAGATGAAGAAAGTGTCTAAAGGGTTGGAAGACATTGACTTCAGATGTCTTTCAAACCTAAGTTTGTGAAATCACTGATGATGCTGAATGAAAACTTGTTCGTGGCTGAGTAGCACACACTAAGAAAATGCAAAACTGAACAGTTGACTTCCAGTGTGGAAGACAACTTCTCAAACTCCCTGGCTTCGTTGTCTCTTGATAATTAATCAGCATAAATGCAAGTTTGCTCTATGCCTTCTTGAAAGCCTGTTGCCACATGGACAAACCATCCACCAAGACGCTCCAGTCTCACAAATAAGCCATTAAGTCTCTTCAAATCCTTGCTTGGTGAGCTTAGCTCCACCTTACTAGCAATTCCCTTGCTTAGAAATCAGTTCACATGTGAGAACCATTAACTACGATGTTGGAACTTTTTTTTTTTTCCTATCACTGTTTCTAAATTCCATGTAAAATCAGTTTGTTGAAACGTAATACATCCTACAGCATTTCTAGCATTAATGCAGCCTTTGGCCTGCAAAAGGCAGTGGTGCTGTGTGCTGCAGAGGCTGTAAGCAGAGCACAGATGCTTTTGGTCTGGAAGAAGGGGCTAGGCTGTGTGTCCCTGGGATGCCCACTAGAGAGAAACCATTGCCCTGCCACATTATTTCAAATAGAAGATTTTTGGGATTTATTTTGAAGGGCTGCAAATTGGAAAGCTTAATTACGAAAGCACTGTAAGTACACCGATTCCAACGAGCAGAGAGATGTGCTTGAAACTTTTTTGAGATAGAAGTAAAGTGTCTCTGCATATAGATTTCTGCAAAAATATTAAAAGTGTGTAGCAGAATAAAAGAAGGGAAGAAAATTGGGGTCACAAATGAGGGGAAGGGGGTTTTTCTGACTTGACAAGGTGTCATCTCCCGTTGTTTGGTTTAACTTTACTGACTCCTAAACATTACTGAAGTTCGCTTTGTCTTTCTGAAAGTGCTCCATTGGTATATCTGTCCTTTCAACACTTCACGCTTTGTTTTTTCTCTGCTGCTTGGTAGGAAGACAGTGAACGTTATTCCCGTAGAGCCCGAAGAAATGCCTCGGTTAGTATTTACTTTTGCTTTTTCTTTTTAGCTAGACATTTCAAATTAAGAAAACAGACATGTATAGGGCAGTTCCTTTTTAAAAGAAGAGATTAAATAAGCTTGCCCCACCCCAGACGCCTGCAAACCCCAAAGCCACTTCCTGACTTCTCTGCCCTCTCCCCTATCACGTCAGGGAGCTTTTGCAAATGTGCTAGAATAAGGGGGGGCAGGGAGCGGAAGATGGGGAAATAACCTGCTTTGGAGTGCTTAATATTAATTTATTCAGACCGTGGGCCAAGAGCATAGAGCAGGGAACACTTGAGCAAGCTTGTCATTCATCCTGTAGTAAAATGCTTGACAGTGTTTCTTGGGCAGGGTATGATTTAATTTACTTTCCACTTACAGTTTTAATGTGATTCTTTTTTAAAGACATTTATTTTGTATGTCTTCTCTTTCCTTCTGTTCATCAAAGCCATCAGCATTTACCTCACTGCCTGTTACTTGTGTTCTTTTCATTGTTTTCTTGTCTTTATACTTTCTTTTGATAGGCTTCGGATGAAGATGAGCGCATGTCAGTGGGTAGCCGTGGAAGCCTGAGGGTTGGTAAATTGTACCATTTAAGTGTGCATGTTTGTCCCCCGATGTTGCTGTGCCCCTGTAACACCAGACTGGTTATAGTACTCTGATAATATCATCCTTCCAATGTCTTTACATGTTCCATGTTCAAGGCATATGGGTTTTTTTTCCCCAAGTACCTGAAGGTCAATAATTTTTCAAGCAGGGTAATTGTCAGATCAGTATGCACTGTGCAGGAACACCAGCAGACCATGTGACTCTATAAAAACCTTTCTGGTAAATGCTGTTGACTGTTACTGTTTCAGGAAGTACCTAGCCAAAACATTGCTATATGCAGCTATTTCTTGTATGTACCTTGTAAGCTACCCTTTCATTACTGATGCTGAGAATTTGCGAAGAGGAAGTGCCAGCTTACTCCATGATCAGTTAGTTTATCAGCTCAGGAAACTGAAAACAAATTGGCAGTGGAAAGCACTTTAGAATTGCAGGTGAATGCTCTCCTCAAAACTGCTTTAGAGATATTTTAAGTTAAACTGCAGATTTGAGTTTTGTGGAGGGAGGATTAGTAGAGCATAGAGAGCTGTAGTAAGAAAAGCTGAATCAGTTTTTCCTCAAAATATCTGTATGGTATTTTTCCAGATAATATGCATGCGTACAAATTTCAACTCTATTTCAGTGTAGACATAATCAGCTCTTAAAATTGTGAAGAGAGTTTAAACAAATTAGTACTTGTGAATGGCTAATGCTACCGTCTCGATATGTGAAGCGATGAGAGCTCGCTGTTTCTGAGACCTATAGAGAAGCATTTACTTAGCCACAAAACTGAAACAGTTCATAACAGCACTATGGAGGAAGCTGTCAGCACTCCTGAATGTGAATCAGCTACGACTAGTTTTTGTTATGGAGTCCCTGTCCCTAAAACTGTTGTATTTGTTCTTCTACTGATATTCCTAGTTTATCAGTAGCACCAGTTATGTGGGTTAAACTGGATGATTAGTTCTCTTTTTATGGAACAAGCAAGACTTACATCATTCATAGCAAGATCTTTATTTGTAATCCTTGGTTTCTGCCTTCTATGGAGACTTCATGCTGTAAAATTATTTTTTTTTTCCTCCTTAAAAAAATTGCTAATATTTACCTGGGCTAGAACTGCCTTTTTTTTTTTTTTTTTTTTTTTTTTTTCCCCCTCTGACAAAGCATCCCCAAAAGAACAGGATTGAGTGGAACACCTCATACACCTCTTTAAAAGAATCTTGGAAGATGAAAAAAAATTACTATTGCAGAGCCTGCACAGTGATCCTAATGGAGTTCACTGTAAGATAGCACAAGATGTACCTAAAAATTTTAAGTGTTGCCTTGTTCCCTTCTTAGTGTAATCCTTATTGCTACTTATGAAATGCTGTTAAAATCTTTATTCAAGACTGCAGATTTGAGTTTTTTTCAAAGCTGGAAGATTAAAGCTCCAAAGATTCAGTGAAAAAAAGCTTGTCTTTACAGCTGCACATGAAAACTGATGTTTATTTTACTTAAATTTGGACATGTTTATGAATGTAGTTTTTGGAGGGGAAAAAAATCTCTAGATCAGTTGAAACTTCTATTCAGATCGTGATCATGATACAAATGGGTTGCTTTAACCATGGCTGTAACTATGTCCCTTGATGTGGCAAGGTGGAAGCACCCTGACACTGTATTTATAGAGGAATACCTTTTGCTCATGGAAATCCACTACTGATTCCTTTTGATGTGTTTTTGTAATAGGATCCTGTGTTTTATTGTTAGATATTTAAACAGCAGAAGCCTTACATTCTTCATCATCATCCCTTGAGAAAAAGCTTTTCTGACCTTTTTTCCTGGAGCAGCCAGTCTCTGGGCTGCTCGCATGCTGGTCTGGTGAGCAACAGTCTCCAGCTGCTTCACAGGATGGCCCATAAATGCCTAATACTTTTGCAAAGAATGTCCTTTTCTGACAGAAGGATCTGGTTGAAACTTTTCACTCTGGTATTTCTAGTGATGTTACACAGAACCCCCTGTCCTCCTAAAGTAGTGTTCAGTGAATATTGTTATGCAAGCTGACGCTTGGACATGCACAGGAAAACAGTTTTGACAGAACTTCCTTCCCTGATCCAAGCGTCACTGCAATTGTAGAAGAAAGTAAAAGTTTGCTAGTCTGAACTGAAATTTCCCCTTCAACATCTTCTGGTTGTTTTATTCACAGTGAATTGATGTAACATACATTTTCCTAGGGTGGGTGTATAGTAGATGCTTTTAATAGTTTGACCACATCTCTCTCTGGCTGTTTGTGAAGGTTTGGCTCTTGCTGTGTGTGTTTTTGAAACAACAAAGTAAAAAAAAAAAACAAAAACCAGCAACTAACCTAAGAAATTACCTCTGAGGACTAGAGTTCAGTTTGGCTTCTGAGTTTTTTTAGCATGAAGAAAGCACCAAAAACTCTTTCCTTGTGTCCACAAAGGGTATAAAACTAGTCAGAGAATTCTGAATGCGCTTTTTTTTTTTTTTTTTTTTGGAGTTTCGGGGTGCCATTGTAATTGGTCTACGAGACTTTAATTTTCTGAAAAATTGATCTTGCGTCTTTGGCACTTGGACTCATTGCACTATGAGGGATGATGGTGTTGGAGATTGCTTTTTGAAGCTATGCTTCTTTTCTGTGCAGAAGTTAGTATCAGGAATGTATTTCTAAAACTTTACCACCCTACTAATCTGTGTGGGTTTTACTCTGGATTTTCTCCTGGAATAATTGCTAAGTGGATGTCTGAACTATAGGCACCAGAGATCTGCTGAGCTAGCTTTTGGGGAGCTGGCCTGGATGCTTCTGGCAGAGCTGCTATGAATATGGATTGCAAAGCCACCTGAGGTGTTGATTAGACCAGGCTAGCAAATTGATGTAAGCTCTGCAGCTGTAACTATACTGTAAACAGTGGCCTAGTAATGCTAGCTTGAGTATATCTCTGCCTCCTGCAGACAGACCTTCAGCTGCGATCTTTAGTTTTTCTGTAGCTCACCCTGAACCCATCAATGTGTCCTGCCCATCTTGTTTCAGAAGTTCTGCAAGCTCGATTCTTTATCACGCAGTTTTTTTCCTAGGAAAACTCAGTAACGTCATCTTGTGTTTGCTGAGACACTCAAACCTCCCTTCAGTCTCCTTTCTACTGCAACTGCCCTTGTTCTCCCACTTCTCAGCTGGTTGTCTCTAATCTGAGACCATCCAGCATGAAATATTGTTGTTATTCATCACTCATGATGGAGTTTGTGCATTTTCCTTGTTTTGTTCTCTTCAAAGTTTCTGACTTTGTGCAAGAAATCCTGCATTATCAAAGTTTTTAGTTGGGATTTACACCTCTGTGCCTGGTTGCGGGGGCTTTTTGGTGTGTTTTTTTTGTTCAATTTGGTTTGGTTTGTTCTGGGTGATTCTTTTGATTGCCATAATTTGCTTCAGTGTTGGTGTTCTGATTTTTCTTTCTTCTCATGCCCTTACAGTCTCATTTGGAATATGCCAGCACCTACCCAGTGGTGAGAATAGTCTGCAAGTTGCAGTGTGTGTTAAAAACTAATCATGGAGATGAAACTAACATCAAATGTGATAGCTGATTTGAGATAAGGGATTATCTGAAATGGTCCTGAGGCAGTTCATGGCCTATGACGTAAAGATGCTGCTTCCTTCACCTACTATTCTGGTGCAGTTCAGATGGAAAGTGCTGAATGATTAGAGAGAGATAAGCTAGTCTAGTTCAGTAGTTACCATGGGACAGAGCAGAATAGCTTTTATTTCCCCTAACAGAATCTCTCTGTTACAGTCCATCATTTGACCAGGTATGTCTGGTTTTATTTCAGCATAAATCTGGAGAGGAATAAAGCTCACTCTGAATAGATCTAGCAACGGTGGCAGGGCAAGTACACTGCCTACCAAAGCTGCAGCTTGTGTATTGAGCTGTTACCTTTTGCTTTGGAGGATAAAATCAAACCCTGTAGGAAATAGTAAGACATGAGCAAGTATTTGTATTGAATACATTGAGGTAAAGCTGACTCTTGGAAGAACAGAAAGGGCACGGAAGGGAGAATGAGGATTGGAATTTCAAGCTCAGTTTAAAAAATTTCCTTGTACTGTTAGCAGTGCTGTCTTTGGCAGCACTGTGTTGAAATAGAGGTGTCTGAGTTTCTGCAGAAAGCGAGCTGTAGAGAGCAGTTTTATGGGCTCTAGCTTTTTCACTCTCCTTTGTTCCCTGTGTAATTTCAAATTAGGAATGCAATATATCTATTTTGAGTGACCTATATACAGAAATAGTTCAAACACATTTGGATTTTGCATGGATGTATTGATGTAGTAAGTATAGACAGCTGGTAGCTCTTTTAATTGACTTAACGCAGCAAGCGTGAATGATTTTAACTGTGGCTACTAAATTTAACAGTGCTATCATCACTTTTAACAATATTCCTTAATAACTGGTCACTTGACTTTGAGATTTGATTTTTGTTATGTGTGCTTACTGAGCCATGTTGTGTAGAGCTGGAGGAAAATTGGACTGATGTTCTTGCATGTTGATATGCATGCCTGACTATGGATGGGTGCACGTAAACTCATTGATCTTTTCATCCTGCATTCTTAATCTCACTGCAGGCTGGATTAGAGAATGAGAGGACCAAAAAGAAGAACTACTCCAAAGCAGTATGTATTTTAACTAACTGTCTCAGAGAGGTTTTTGCATACAAAACCACTGTGATAGAACAGAGAATATATGCAAGTATGTGACTAAGAGCTCACCAGCCTGATGTCAAGGATACGGTGTAACTATCAGGATTTGTTGGGTCTGCAAGAATACTGAGCATCACTTCATCTGCAAAATGTGGTACAATCCAAACGCTTGGGTCAGTGTCATACATAAAGAGCATTTTGAAAAACTCAAAACCTAACTTGGGTTTTAACATTACACAGAAGTAGGTAATACTGGTACAAGTATTTCTGCATCTTTCGTAAAGGTAGTTCTGCATAGTATTGATGCCTTACTAGGACCTGTACAAATAGGACACTACTTAGAGCACTGCAAAGCCAGACCTGGATGGAAGGTAAAGGATAACGTGCTTTCACACAGTCAGGATTTTAGGGAAATCTCACAGGGAGCAATTCCAGGGAGAGAAAGAGTACACAAGAAGGCAAAGTGGAGTACCGCTACTGCGGAGGGAAGGCTGCTCGTCATAGAAAGACACTGCCAGGCTGGGTTGGGGTTCTTCAGTACATTGGAAATCAGCTGAGAATTTTCTGAGAAGTGGAAGTTTGATGTGGGATTGGGAAAGCCTGAAGGAGCAGCCTTAGCCACAGTCTGAGGTAAAAAATGTTACAAGTATAAACAGACATAATGGCAATGAGAAAGTTTTCTGCATCTGTTAAAAGGAAGAGGAAAATAGAGAAAAGAATAGGATCAATTGCACATGAAAGGAGAACAAGTAAAAACTGGATATTTTAGCTTCCCCAGGATGCAACTTTGTTTGTTCTAGTTTTCATGAAGTCTATGATCAGATGCTTCACATGTTAATGTAGGTCAGTGGGGTCTGATAAAACTGACCCTGCTCTTCAAGAGTTATCTGGAGTATTTGCCTTCAAAAATATGTGCTGGAGCAGTGTTTGGAGAGGATGGGATATAGTGGCGCAGGAAATGACCTGAGCTATGGGGCTTCAGTTTGAAACCTGAAAGATGCAGGTCAAATTAAACAAATATGTTGAAAAGTGCCTGAAATATGAAGGGATAAACCTGGATTTGTGAAAAATGAATTGTATCAATTCAACTTAATTTTCCTAAGCAGGGTAGTTATTTAAGGGCATAAGGGAAAGCATTAGATGTGACTATAACTTGACTATAAGGCTCTTGGGATGTTTTTTCATAACATTAAGAGAAATCTTGGGTAAGATTTAGTTCTTGTAAAAAATGCAGAGTTAGTTGAAAAATAACTGTTAGAAAACGAGACAGCTGGTAAGGATCTCATCTGGTCTATTCCCATCTAAGACAGCATCATCTGTTTTTAAAAGGGAAAAGAGTTCTACAGGAGTCAGTATTGTCTAGCTGTCCTAAGTGTGGGGAGTGAATGTGATTTCATGTGAGGTTAGAATAAAAATACTGATGATGAATAGTAGATAACTTTTCAAAACTGACTAATAGTAAAAATAAATGAGGAGTACCACAGTGGGGAAGAAAGAAATACACTCCTACAAAGTAAGGAGTTTTGCATAGGAATGGTTCAGACAATGATCTGAGGTTACATTTAGTCAATATTACACTGGTGGAAAAAGGCAAACAATTCTTCAGAGTAATAATAAAAGGGGCAGTGGAGGTAATTGGTTATCATGGTGCTCTAGCTGTGGCTAGAGTTTTGGCTTTACTTGCTGAAGACTCATTTTAACCACTCTTCAGGAAAGTGTTGGAGAAATTTGAGAAGCCTGAAAAAAAACCCAGTAAAAATTGGGAAGAAGCCAAGCTATTTGAGAAGGCTATAGAAGTATTTCAAATCAGTTCTTGAAAACAGAAACTGGATGTTGGCCCTCCATTTCTGGTGATAATACTGTATTTCAGTAGAGAATCTGAGGTTTTTCCGAGAAGTTAATTCACCAGCTTGGGTCAGAACTGGTCTCTAACCTAATTTGTTTAATTTTCCATGGAAGCCACTGTATAGTAGAAGTGTTTTCTTTGGAAGTTAATTCAGAATGGGTTTAGTGAATTTTCATTTTCAAAATGCATTAAAACTTGGGCTTCAAAATTTAATTTGAATAGAAATTGTAATTAAAGTTCCACTAAAAAACCACCCTGAATATGCAGAGTGCTCGCTCATTTTTTATGTTAAACGAGGTCTCATTGTGAAGTGATGCCAGAACAGTGAATTGCTTGAGAAATCTGAGCTTTTAGTGGTATCAGTTGATGTGGCTTTTGGGTCTATCCTCTTTTTTTTCAAACATCACGTTTCTAGGCTGAAACCAATCTGCATCATAGTGATAATTCTATTTTATTCCCAACCCTGCTGCTGTAGGGACTTGAAGCATCTCACCCTGCTTGTGGAATGCTCCTTCTGAGCCTGTTTGTTTGTTCTCCTTTGAGGAAAAACATCTCAATGAGAACAAGGCAGGCTATTAAGCATGATGGAGGGCAGCTGAACAGACTAAAATCTCTTGTTAATCTTCAGGCTGCCACACAGAATACTGGGATGTGGCAGATGGTCACTGTCTCTTTAATTTTGATGTAATTGGGGAAAGCTAAAAAGAAGAGATTTCATACGACACTGCATATTTACTAAACTGAATTTCTCAAATATAACCTTAGAATAATTTTTTTTTTTCTGCAATGTGCTGCTTTTTAATTGCTTAGCTTCCAGAGGTGTAAATAACTACAGTGATAAATTTATTTTATTGTAGTCTCTCATCCCTAGTGTCCCTTTTTTGTCCTGTGTTCCCTTCACAGAGCTCTTGGAGACAGGTGCTATAGTGCAGTAATAATAGGGGAAGCAAAAGTAGTTTCTTAGCAAAAAAAAAGAAGGGTCAAAAAAGGCAAGCAGGAGTATCCTTGACAGTTTGGGCTGGTACACCAGTACTGACAGACACACAGATTTACATGTCCTCATGTTTGAAATCATTACCTAATCCTGTACTTCTCCTGTTCTGGTGTGTCTTTGAAAAGTTCTGTCTCTGCTTTTGCTTTTCGTAAGTGATGACTTTTGCTAAAAGTTCCCTTTCGGGTCTGTGTCAAAATTTTTTTTTCTCTTTTTTTTTTTTTTTTTTTTTTTTTTAGACCAATGGTTATGAGGAAGACGTGTATGGATCATCCCAGAGTAGAAAATCTAGCAGGGTTAGTAGATGATTTATATTGCTATAAAATCTATTGCTCTGTTTAATGGGATTAAAGATAATTAGCAAATTCTTTTCTGCAGTATAGCAGGTTTTTCCTGTCTTGCATGTTGTGGGTTTTGCAGATTGTCAGACCTGGAGGTGCAGCAATAAGCTGTCTTTAAAAAAAAAAAAAAAAAAAATTTAAAATTAGGCCACGAGTGGGAAGGGAAGTCTCTGAATTAGGTACAAGAAGAACTTGGAAGCCAGAACTGCTTAACTTGTAAACAAAATTGGGTAAAAGTTTAATTGTGACCAGAAATAGTTCTACATCACCTGTCACAGAGGATTTCCATGCGCTGGACAACAGAATGATTGTTTTCCAACCAGTGCAATGTGTTCACATTGTGCTCTAACACTGAAACTCCCAAGCTACATCTAGAATTTCATCCAGGTCTTAAGATTTGTGTATGTAAAATGGACTTCTCATTTTAATTTTTCCCCAAGTGTGTGTTATTTATTTGAAGTTTGCTTAACTAAATGCCTTTTTTTTTTTTTTCCCTTTATAAACTGTATCCTAGGGTTTCTGGAAACTCCCACAGAGGTGAACAGCCAGCGCAAGTGTTGCTACTTACCTATTTACCATTGATATACTTTTATTTCTAGAAATAGTCTTGTCAAAAAAAGCTTAATTAACTACATTGTATGTATGTGGGTCACAATGTTCTTTCCCTTCTGTTCCAGCACAAGTGTTCTGTGTCAATTATAGAAATTCATTGTCCTGCTTTGTTAAATATTGGGGTTTGTGCTGTGTTTGTGTGTTGAAGGTATTGTCTCAAGCAGATCCTCTTTGGGGGGCGGGGAGGGGAACTGTTTGGGGTTCTTTTCCTTGCCTTTATTTTAACAAAGGCAGACAAAAGAGCCTGTTGATTTTATGTTATCAAGACTTCTAAAGAAATATAGTGGTATGCAGACTAAAGCTCTGTGTTTAGGGGAAAAATAAACTACTTTTAAGACTCCATTTAGTTAAGTGTTTGAGCAATACATGCTACACAGATAGACTTCAGTGAGTTACTTTGTAAGCATGAAGTTAAGCAGGGACTTGTATAAATAGTGAAATGGGACCTTAGATTTCATGTCCATTTTAAATTGTTACTTCCATATGGTTTTATGCATTTAGCTTGTATATGTGGGTAAGAGAAAATGAAATACTGTTGCTTAAACTGTTAAGAAAACAGTATGTCCTGTTGTTGGCACTGTTGCTGAACTGCTTGACAAGTTCAAAGAACTGTATTATGTAGTGCTTCTGACAAATGATGTTCTTTAATGACATACTCCAGAGCTCCAAGTACTGCAGGAAGAGCAAAATAGCTGTAAGAAAGTAATCCAGGGAAAATAAGTTGTTTGGTTTCCATTTAAATAATTTTAAATCATCCTGGCATTAGAGTTTGTAGCATGGAGGTTTAGTGTATGTAGAGCATAATTACAGCAACATCATTAGTTCCTTGCTGTTTTCATTACTAAGTGTTCAGATAAGTCATCATTTAGAAGGGGGATGAGAGTTTGGGGGTGACCTGGAATAGCTCAAACTCCAAAATCGGTTGATGCCAGTCCGACTGGCATTCACCTTTAGAAATACTCTGTCCAAAAACCCTCAAACCTAACTGTAAAGATTGCCAAAGTGACAAGTAAACAGAGAAGAGGCAGAATTCTTCAGGTCAGGAAGGAAGCAATGAGTCTGATGATAAAATAGTAGTTTCAGCCTTTGTACACTGTACTTGAAATATCATGGGTTGATTCCTTAAAAATAAATAGTGCCACATACTAGGCATGTCACATACTACACACAGGTAGTCCATGTGTGGATTACAAACTCCCTAGGTGGGAATGAAAATAGTTTCTTCAAGCTCAGTTCATTTAGTCAGGTTTTGTTTTAGTGAAAATCTTATTTTACAGGTATTTAGGAAGATCGAGGCAGAAAACGATCTAAATTTTTGAGGATGAACAATGATTTATTCTCAGTATGTACCTGTGGGTGTTGTCTTATTCACAGATCTGTTTGCCTGCGGTGACAGAAGTCCAGTGTCAAGAATGGGCAAGTTTCTTTAATTTGCCACAGGTCTCTCTCATTTGTAAATTGAGTTAACACCTACATAGTTTATAGTGATGATGCAAGGATTAGTTAGGGCTTGTAATAAAGCTGAGTAATTGCTGACTACTAAAAGCAGAGTATCTTGGTTGCCTAGACCCCTGTAAGAAATGACTGGGAGAAGCAGGATGTTAAGAGAAAGGCTGTAAAAGGAGAGCTCTGGAGTATGGCAAATGTGAAAGCACGAAGCTCTTTCAGAACAACCATTCTCACCAGCACACATGAACCTGCGGGAAAACCTAAACAGTGCCTAGAAGGCCTTGAAAATACCTTTGCAACTCGTGTATTGTCGAAGGGCTAATTAGAAGAGGCTGCGTGAGCACAGAATTCATTTCACGAGGGTGGGGATGCGGGGAGGTAGCGTTTCCTCCCTCGCTCCTGCAGGCTGGCAGCAGCAGCCTGTGCTCCCTGCTAAGCACGCCTTCCCGGCACCGCTTCGTACCCTGCCCGCTTGGCTCAGGGCTGCATCTGGCCCCGGCACAGCAGAGGAACCATTTTATTACATTTTAGATGTGCTTTTAGGCTGCCGTTTTTCTGAAAATAAGGAAAATACAAAGTCTTCCTAGTATGTATTTCTTCTGATTCCTTTGCCACAGTGAATAATGTCATATATATGCATTTCCAATCTGCATTGAAAACAGACCTTGATTTGCAAATTTAAATATCCCTCTGTGTTAAAAACAGCTGTTTATAACAACTTAAGTTGTTCCTATTATATTGTCGCATGCTTTTGAAGCTTTTGGAAGCCAAAATAGTTAAGTTCCACTCAGTATTATAAATATCCTACTGCTGTCAGCTTTCCTGCACTCTGGCAAGCCCTACGTGCCAGCTTTGTGTTGAAGCGTCTGTGCAGCAAAAATTCTAATACAGGATAGTAGAAAAGCTGAGCTGGTATCCTGAACTCCAGTACAGGTGCTGGGGGGAATGACTGGAGATACTGCATATCACACTAGATAAATAAGGTGTAGTAATTTGGAGCTGAATTAAGATCTCCCCATTCCTGGGGAAACCAGTTAAGTGGACCAAAAGTACAAGGTTGGCTAGATGCTAGGTAGGAAGCTGCATAAAATGTGTTTAATTTAGACAGTCTCATTTCTTACAGAAACATTTTCTTTGCGTTCAGCCTTGCCATATCTGACATTGGGCTGCTCACTTTTCCTGATGGGCACACCTAACTGTTTTGTTGCCTGGCTTTGCCCTCAGTCTCCTGGCAGAGTTGTCCTGACACCTTCTCCTGTATCTCTTGTGGGCTTAGCTGATAGAGCATAAACTCCTCAAGAATTTGGAAGGAAACTGACCTACTCTCTGACCAAAAAGTTTTTCCAGTGCTTGGTGCGCAGTGGCAATTGTGTCTCTTGTCTGCAGCGGTGAGACTGCGTATGCAAAGAAACAAATCCTTCAAGGCAGGAGCCTGGGCTTTTAGGTTTGAAGCTGCAATGCAGCCAATTATTCTGAGTTTGAACCTGGGAACTAACATTTCTATTATCTTGTAAAATGGATGTTGTCTGTTCCATTTTACAGAAGCTGAAAGTATGTTCAAAAATACAGCTTTGCTTAACTAGAGCTAGGATGAAACTCAGGTGCCTAAACTGCGTATGTGCTTTGGAAACGTGGTCCATCTTCTTCCAAGTCCCATACAAACCATAGTCTTTACAGCACACTGTCATCTTGGGTCATAGCAATGAGAAGGGAGGAGAGAATGTGGGAGTTTAAAGCCTTTTCAGTGGAAAAGAAACCAAACTGGTATTTCATGCATAAGATGCTGTAGGGATAGAGGAAAGGCCATTTGCTTATTTTAAAAAATCTCTATCTTACAAAGGGCACAGGATTTTCCCTTATCCTTATATCTTTAATGTGATTTTCTTAATGCAGTTATCTCTTATTTTTGTATCTGTGACCACTTGGACTCCTGATCTACTTTTGCTTCCCATTTAAAGGAATTTAGAAAGCCCTTCATGTTATGATGCTGAGTTCTTAAGGGGGTTTTTGTTTGTTATTAATGCAGGCTTCATACTACTCTGATCTGGGTCTTCACAACAGCGGCTATGCTTCCACATCTCAACCTTCTTCCCAAAATGGAAATTGGGTCTGTTGCCCTCTGGCTTTACCTGGCCTGGCCTTATTCTGACTTCATTTGGATAATACAACCTCTTGTACTTAGGAATGAATTTGGACCTATTGTCAAGAGTCTCTGTAGCCCTCTTCAGTAAAAGTTAAAAAAAAAACAAAACCCACACCCAGAACTTTTAAGATGGTAGTGAGTAATGGAAAACTGTTTTACAATGAGCACAATTAGTTTTCCTTTGCTGCTCCTCCCTTTCCTACAGTTATTTTGTTTGGTTTTTGCCTTGACTGGTCTGGAAAAATAAGGGAAATCTTAATTACCTGAAGTTCTCTATTCTGTTTGAGGCAACTTCTTTGCTCACCGTGTCAGTCTAGCGAGTTTAAGACAATCTAGTCTGCATAAAATGAAATTACAAGCAAGTAGTTTACAGACTGCTAGAAGAAAATCGCTGAAGCTTCAAAATCACCTGGGAGGTTGGATTGTCCTCTGTGTGTGGGCATAGCTCGGGCAATGTGGCGCTAGCAAAGCGGTGCTTGAGCAGTGGTGCACAGCCTGTCCTGCCTGGCGGCCTCAGCATGAGGGCATCAGCGGGCACTTTGCGGTGGCCAGCCAGGGGGCCGCTGCGTTTGAGCGGGGTGACTTGCAGCAGGATGTTGCCTGCAAACTGTGGGCTGGGGACCACTGCTGGAGTATCTCTTGCATGTAATGATGCCAAGATACAGTATGTGCTCTCAGCTTAATTGCTGCATCTTGTGAATGAGGGTTACTAACTGCAAAGTCATTTGTTTTATGGTGCTCTGACTTAAGTACTCATAATTTTGTCCTGAATTATTTGGCTTTTCTCTGTTTTTGGTTTTTTTTTAATAATAAAATACACAAGAGATAATCTTATAGCTGTGTGAAACTCTTAAAAAGCATATCTTAAAACACTTCTGCCTTTGCATGTAGCTCTTTTTCTGGCTTTGGTTGAAGTGAGGAGAAACACCCTTTCTGGCTGCTATACACAAATGTGTGTGAGACAATAACAACGTAACAAAATAAAATTATGCTGTTTTGCTTTTGCATACTGTCGTGACCTCCCTTCCTGTAGGAAACGCACATGTGTCTGCTTGATATTCTTAGTCTTTGGGAGTCGAGATTGAATGCTTTTATGGCACAGATGACTAATATTCTCTATGCTGGGTTTTTTTCTGTTGTAGTTTGATAATCCTAAATCTCTAGGATGGTTGATTCTGCTGTAGGTGCTTATTTTTTGTTTGTTTCATTTTCTATGCAAAAAAGTTTTGTGCTTGTCTTCCTCAGCCCTCCTTGCTGTACAGTGATGCCCTGCCAGCCAGAAGTTACAGGGTTTGTTGTACTAATGCTCTAAGCTCAAATACTGAAGCCACTCACCTTCAGCCATGCATATGTTGTCTCTTGCCACTGTTGTTCCTGTTGGGTTCATTTATTTCACACTCTGGTGTCTGATCCATCTGAATGCACGTGTGCAATGCTGTTTGTACAGATTTGGATTTGCTGGTCCTTCCTTTTATTCCCAATGGAACTGTGCAACCACTTCTCATGGGGTTGTGTTGCTGCCGCGGACTCTCTCTGGGTGGAGACGATTGTCTTCATTTTGGTGTATTAGCTACAATGTGCAGGAGCAGGCCAGAGAGGCAACATCAATTCTTTCTGGTTGTGTAACAACTAATAAAAATCTGTTTAAAAATTTTTGTAACCAAATTCTACTGTTCTTGTTTAAACTTTAAAACGAGCTTCTCGGACTTTTTCTTTTTGAAGCCTAAAGGTAGAGTTTCCTGCTTCCCCTGTGTTTCCTGGGCCATATGTTTATATGGTAAACTGGAGCCAATCTTAAAATATGTATCTTCCTCCTCTTCTATTAATTTAGTAAGCTGGCTAGTAAGTGAAGTTTGTCAGGTGTTTCTCCCCATATTGCCTGCACCAGAAATCAAGATTAAACAGATTTGAACAATTTAAGAATTGATGTCACCGTTTTGTTGGTAGACAACATAAACTGTTGAATTGATCGGGAGAATAGTTAGAACTGCATGACTATGTAATGGACTCGGGGCGGGGGTGTGTGTGTGTGTGTGTCAGATTTTGCACGTGCCTTACACTATTTCCCAGTTCACTGACTTCAGGTTGCGTTAGATCTTCACTTGCATGTTGCTTGTGGTTGCGTACGGGAAGTGTCCCTGTCCTTGCACATACTGCTCGTTCCCCTATGTCCTTCGCGCTGCACCTCGTGAATTTGTAATGTTCCAGATTGAAACCAGAAACTAGGTCTGCCAGTCCTGTTCTGACTCTGTCTTTTAATTGTAGGCGTCTGTGTATGACGAGAGCGTTTACAGTGGGAGTCGTCGGTATAGTGCCTCTAGTTCTCGTGCTGTAAGATGTTTTCTGCATTTCCCTGTTGTTTTGTCTCTGTCCTCCAGTAACCCTTGTGTACCAGAATACAGCCTTTTCTGGGCTGAGGAACATTTAAGATGGCCTATGTGAGATTCACAGCCTGCTGCTATAGGCAGAAGTATGAGCACCATTTCCTTGAGCTGCCATGAAATAATAAGTAGTGATTTATCTGCTGTTGTAACTCCTGGCCTTGCACAGACCAACTCTGGCTAGCTCTGACAGAGCCTGGCACTAGGCACTCACCCCTCCTGTAGCAAGGGGAATTCAGCTCTGCCTTGCACTTGGTTTACAGATAAAACGCCTTAGAAAGATGTTACATAAAGTTCCTTCCCTCACTGAGGATTCTTCTTTCGAAAACTGAGAATAATATAGTTTAAAAAAAACCAACAATGAAACACAACTCTTCCCCAGTGTTACATCATTAGCACTTACCTGCTAGCATGAAATAAAGGGTTTTTCTGAATGTATAACTTGCTTGGTTTTGTTGCTTGGTTTTATATTCAATAGCAGTATTTCAGACAACTTGTGACAATGTTTTCAAAATACATGCTTCTGTGAGTGGAGGGCTCTATCATTTCTAGGGAGAGACAATATGAGGAATGACTATAAATTGTTCCCTTTCAAAAAGGCTGCACGACTCTGTTTACAGATTAGAAGGCAGAAAATAAATGCCTTCACCCCTTCTCAGATGGGGCCTCCCAGTCGTGGTGGGCGTTTAGGCCAGGCAGTATGTTTGCTGGTGTTCTGTCTGCCTGTGGGGGGAAAAAAATCCAATCTCTTTTGATTTTTAAATTCTACTCTGTAAACCTGGTGCTTTTATGTCTCTGAACTCCTTCACTGATTATCAAAAAAACCAACCCAACAAAAGAGCCCCAACAAATGGAAAAACTCCACTTAAGACTGTAACAGAAAAAAGACTCAAGACAAAACATTGATCTGAATTTAACAGTGAAAGTTACAATTTTATTAGCTTGGAGAAGGAGGCAAACTTGAATGCTTACTAAGTGCTTGTTAGTCTTTAAAGGGCTATTCCATCCCCTGGCACTCACACTGATTACCTGGTTGAGCTGTGCATCTTGCTGCTACTGATGTTAAGCTTCACATTACTTTTTGTTTTGTAACTGTGCCTTGTTTTTATTTGGCTGCCTTGGAAAATTCATCGATACTTATCCCTTTGGACTGTTGTGGTAGCCTGCAATTCAGTGAATTTGCTACTTAGGCTGCGCTGGGCTGGTTGTAGCCCTTTGTACAGGATGTTTGTCATCTTTTGTTTGAGAGAAGTCTCTCAAAGGTCCATATGATACACTTCTTCTCTTGAGAGAAATAATTTACAGTGGGGTCCAAGCCTGAATGCTGTTTACAAGTCTTTCAGGCACTGTTAATGGCTTGAGCAAGGAACACAGAATGAAACGCCAGTGATTGTTCCCCTTCCTCCCTCCCCATCCTACCCCGTGCCACAGGTATTTGGAAGCCTGTGTATAGCTCAGCCTTTCCAGTTTCTGTTGCTTAGTCACCTGTAGTAATGAGGGGGTTGAAGTATGAGGTTTTTGTCTTAAAGGGAATGCCTTTGTCACGTTTACCATGTTATCTGTGGTTACTTTAACGCTTCTGAATCTCCTAGCTCATTTAACATATAGATGATGTGCCATTTGGGTAGCTGTCCCCAAGGAATGTTTTTAGATGATGAGATGACGGGTGATTGCAGGTGGTGAGGCTGAACTCACTTCCATATTCTGCCCTGCAATACACAGAGAGCAACTACGGAATAAATAGGTCCCATAAAGCATTAATGTGGCACTCATCAGTAGTTTATACTATTTCCCTGTCATGTGTTTCAAGTTTGTTCTACATCCTTGTTATGCTAAACATAAACCAGCAGTGATGGCACAAGGCTTGTGTGCTAGAACTATTAAATAAGAAACCAAAATCTAAATATTTACTTCAGTGCTTTTTGGTTTTAATTTAGGAGTTGAAGTGGCTGTGATTGAAAATAGTTGTTAACTGTGTGCAATACAGTTGTACATTTTGTATATTCTCATCTCTGAAATGAAGCTCAGTAGTTCGAATGCATGAAGCCAGCATCACTTCACCTGAAAAAGACAAGAGTACAGGCATCTTGTACTTTTGACTATGGTAATTCTTTAGAATTCAGTGTTTTTATATCTGAGAGACAGTCTTAAGTACCTATAAAATAAATTCATAAGGGTCATTAGCAGCATAGTCTGAGCTGCTGAGAAGAGCAGTTCCTCATTCTTGTTCCTGTCCCAGAACTGTCTCTGCCCTTGTGTCAGTGATGACTTTTGCATGTGAAGTTTGTCAGCCTGACATGCCCCTTTACAGAGGCTACATTTGCAGTTGCCTTGAGGTAGTAGCAATAGGAAAAATACCATGTCTGGTAAACCTCAAACTTTAATTCATCTCTGTTCTCAATGTATCAAAACCTCCCTTTTATATATGCTTATGTATCTTTCTATAAAGTACATCTAAATACAAGATTGAGTGCAAAGCTGCTACTCTGAAATCTTTGAAAATAGAGGCAATAATTCTAAAATGCATTTCCAGAATAAGTTTTAGTTCTGTTTTCCTGATGCTTTAAACTTTCATTTCCCTTTTCTGCTTCCACTGCACTGTAACTCTGGAAATAAAACAGCATAGACACATTCTTTGTTCTTGTCAGCAATAAGTCAGCCATGTTCTGCATCACTGCTTAGATGTTTGCTTTTAAGAAGGTCTAAAGTACTTTAGTTGGCAGGAGATGAGGACTGCAGGTGCTGAAAAAGCAGGAGAGATACTGAGTCTCTGAGATGGTCTCAGTTTTTACTTCGATCGCCACATAGATGGATGTTTCTTGCTTTGGCCTGTAGAGCATGGATTCATTTTATACGTGCACAATGTTGGAAACATGGGAAGGCGGCTCACCAGAGAATCTCAGAGCTCTTGAAAAGTAGTAGGATTGAGCCTTTTGTATAGAGACTGAGCTGTTTACTTGTGAATGCTACCTTAAGATATATAAATAAATCTTTAGTATTCTGCCATTCTAAGAATGGAATTAAAACTCTGCTTGGTCTGTCAACTGGAATTACTGCTTGCCTTAATTTTTAAATTAACGGTTGAAGTGTCTGTTCTCTGACTTTCACTGCTATTCCTTTGCATGTAACCATTTTCATGACCAACCTCCAATGTAATCCTCTAAATTTCCTCGTTTCCCAGTTCTAATGCTTTTCTCTTTTCTCTGCTTGCTATTCTTGGTTTACCTGCGGCAGCCTTCTGAGTACAGCTGCTACCTTGGGTCAGGATCTCGGGCATCCTCAAGAGCCAGCTCTGCTCGGGCCAGTCCAGTGGTGAGCTCCTCTAATTTTCTTTGTCCCTAAACTGTTTAATTCCTCTGTTCTTCAAGGTCTTTTTTTGTACAAAGATGCAACTGTCCCTCATGAGACATTTTCTTATGGTATTAATGGGAACTTCTGGGCAATGTTTAAGACAAAGAAGGGGTGAACCAGGTGAGAAATTACAAAACCAAAGTCATTTCTATGCAGTTGCACATGTTTTTACAATAGAAAGTACACTTTGAACTCCAGTGACAACACTATTTTTTTTTCTATGTTGGGCCTATAGCACATCTTTAAGGGTATTGTGAAAAAGACTGGATTGCTGTTGCTAGTGCCACATCTACTTTGATTATTAAAATCAGGAAACCCTAAATCTTATTGCAGTGTTCAAGTAGTTTAGTTTCTCTATGTTGGGCAGTATTTTGGTGTTGTGTTGCTGCAAACCTGCAGGGCTATCTGGAGACTGGATTTGAACATATTTGCTGGACTGTAGATTACCAGGCACCATGGAGTCGTTAGCACAGTGAAGTGCTAGAAGGATTACATGCACCCAGCACATCTAGCATCATGAATTCCTAAATAGTCATGGCTGGACAAGGCTCAAGCTAAAGGCTTGTCCAACCCCTGTGACCGTACTTGACCAAGAAAAGATATTTTTTTTGCTGCTTTTTACAAATATAAAGTAATCATCTTCTATTTTTTGAATGGCATACTGCTGCTTTCTCTTTGTGATTGTACCACTAGCTGTTTACAACTGTATCTTTTCTGATTAATTTCAGAGCAAGGCCTGATAGTGCAATGATGGTGGCAGAGTGGAGTGGTATGTTTCTTAGAGGAAACATGCAGTTTACAGTAAACTAGTCTATAACAAAATTAATCTTCCATGGAAAGTGAGCTTTGAAGTGTTGCACTTGAGTTTCAGTAAACTGGCTTTGCTTCATGGAGGCATTCCTCCTAGAGAAGTTTTAATGGGCTCATTCTTCTGGGACTTGTCATGTACTACCTACCACATCCCTAAGATATGAAGTGATGAGGCGAGTGGTATCATAAACATGCACAATGTGCTTCTCTAGTCATAACATCCTGTTGCCTTTATTGCTTTGCTGAGGAGTTGAAATTTAAATGCTCTATATGTTGCCTTAAGGACTAATTAAGAGGGAATATCTGTGTAGTCAAAGAAGCTACCACAGCATGCAACATGGTAAACTGTAACGTGAACATTTGGAGTGTTTCCTCTTCAGTAAACAGACATAGTCTGCAGTAAGGAATTGCTTTGTATCTCATGTCCCCCAGTATGCTGGTTCCTCCTTTAGATGTAGCCTGTGGTCTGAAAACCTGTGCTCTTTGGGGTTTTTCTCCTGTGGTTAGAAATGTGCAGTAGGTCTGCATCCCAGTGGTGAAAGGTGCCTGAACTCTCCACACAGGGTTACTTCTTGCCATCAGGCAGGGACTGGGCGAGCTTTTTGATCATCGAGCGAGAACTCTCCTCTTAAGTGAGAAAGAGCTGAATAAACTGTTGCAAAAGAAAATGGATTTGATAGAATAGAGCTATGTGCTCTGAAGTATTAGTGTTTCTTAAAGACAAGGGTACATCCACTTTTTTGACTTTTTTTTTCCTTTTAAAAAAAGGGTTTTCATCAGATAATGTATAGTAGTCAGTGAGCTATAAATAAATCAGTATTTTAATTAGTCCCTGAATCTGAGCTATGCATTTTTGCAGTATATATCTTACATTAGTAATACTTCTTAAATGGCTTTGCAAACTGAATTTAAATTATCCTGAAAGCAAAAAATAATCAGAATAGCGAGGGATTCCATTAAAGTTTTTTAAGAGTAAGAACTGCGTACCCATACATTGATGGTGGTTTCCATGATGTGTTTTTTGTATGCAGTCTGAGTCATTCGTTCAAGTTGTTTACGGTAATCACAAAATGCAGCTTGGTCCTCCTGGGAGCTCTAGGGGATTTTTAGTCTTTTAATTCTCAGATTACACTTTTTGGACTGTTTGTATGCTGGAGATGGTTAGCTGTGTCAGCACCGAGGCTGGAGAGGTGCCGAGCTGAATCTGCTCTGCAAGGAGACAGCAGGCACTTTTTTTATTTAAAGTAGAGGTTTATTGCAGGGTGTAAAGAGTTTCTGTTATTTCCATGGTGTTGAAGAAGAGCTGGGAACTAACACCATAGTGCGTCTAAAAGGCATCACTGCAGGGGCTTTGCTTCTCCTAATGCAAGGTAGTACAAGCCTTATTAACAGGGTGGCATCGCTCTTAGAAGTTCTAATTACTACACTGGGTCAATGCAGCAGCACCTTGTGATTTTTTTTTTTTTTTTTTTTTTTTTTTTTTTTTTTCCCCTGCAACAAACAGGCAATGCCTTTTCTTGTAACTCACAGTAAGGAGTCATTTGTCTTTTGCTAACAGAGGTTTGAAGGTGATTTGCTAACGTTTTCAGTTACATACTTGATCTTGGCAGTAAAGATGCTGAAACAGAGCCCTGTCTTCTTAGCAGGCTCAGTGGTGTATAGCTTCCACTTGTACAGTCCTGGAACGTCATTTGCATGGACTTCCTAAAGGAAGAATAAAGATCTCCTTGGATGGTGGTGATAGCTTATGAGAGGAAAAAAGTGATTGTTTTTATTTATATGAGTAGTCTACATTAGAACTGGTTTAATATTGCTAGCCCACAAAACTTGAGATATTCCCTGCCTTAAGGTACTGAGCCATAGGCTTTCTTGATTCTTCTTTATATATCTTCTGGCATTTCCACACATAAGGATTTGATTCCAAGTTCACTTTTTAAATGGCTGGTGGAGGAGGAAGGAAAGGGGAATATATGTTGGGTTGAAAATCTGACTTTCCAGCATGCTTATGTCACTTGAGAGTGTGATAGTTTACAAAATCCACGTACTGTAATCATGAGTGCTTAATACTGAAGTCAAATATGATTTTCTTATGATTATGGGCATGATTAGGCAGAAAATGAAAACGGAACTGTTCCCAAACCTAACTAATTATACTGAGAAATTATATATTGAGAATGGAGGATTCGATTTAACTTCTAAATTAAAGCATACAGTATCTTGTCATTGCAGCCTTTAAATTTTTTCTCAGAATTTTGTTTCCCCTTCTATCTCTGCTCATTAAACAATGAGCAAAAAGCGAGAGTAGTTTTCCTGCTGCGCACAGTTTTGCCAGGTTATGTTCTCATTTGTGTTTTCATCCGTTTAATACAGTAAAAGCAAGGAAGATACTTAAACATAGTATGTGAATATTTATTTGTCTTTGTATGTATTTTTAATAATTCATTACATTTGCATGGTTTACCGTTTCTTTATTTTTTTTAATGTTTTTCCCATTATTCCTACTAGTAGTTACTGTCTGCTGCCCTTGCAGTTACTGCAGATATGCAAAAATGTCATTTAATATTAAAGTCTTATACTCAGTATTAAGAACAGATCTTAAGACTACTGAGAGCAAACATCAGGCCCATCTATACAGAGGGAGGTAAATCTTGTGCCTGAGCTGGTGGCATGTTTTGGCCAAGATGGGCTTTTTAATATGAATTGTTGGAATTAAAAAAAAATTAATAAACTGCTAATGAAAAGCAACTACTTATGCATTTGAAATAGACTCAGAATGTAACAGTATTTATCTGGAGACTTTCTGAGCAAAGGAAGGCAAAATAATAGGAGAGGGCACATTTTGCTACTGTAAGATGATGATCTTTTGTGTTAACTGTCTTTCTTCCTGCGGGGTTTCAGATGGTGGGCACAGGCATGCAGCCTGGCCAGGTGGTGCCCACAGCAGCATGATCGTACAAAGCACAAGTCTGAAAATGCAAGTGTCACTTAGCAAGTGTGCAGTCCTCAGGTCGTACATCAATGCACAGTTGAGAATAGCTTTTCTTTAATTTGAAGAAGCTTATTATGTTCTCACTGGAAATAAAATGAAGACAGTAACAGACTTAACTTTCAGGGAAGCAGTTATCAGTGTGTTCAGGCTTTGCCTTCTCTATGCTTAAAGATTTACAGTAGGCTTGAATCCTAGCCCAGCCACTGACAATCTGGGTGTGCTTCTGGCCCCTCCGGACTGAGGATTTGCTGCAGTGCTAACTTGCGTTTCAGAGACTGATAAGTTTGTTTAAGCAATGACGTTTGGCATAACACTCATTCCTGAGTGAGGATACTTCTGACAAATCCACTTTAGACCTGACAAAGTTCAGCAGCAGTTTTCCCCTGCTGACTTCTAAAAGCTTGTTGCTAATTGCTAGTGTTAAGGTGGCTCTCACTGGAAAAATACGCAGAAACTCTCCGTGTTACTTCTTGCCCCAGCCCAGCTGATCATACTGGTAAGATGGGGATTGTAAGAGGGGTTATATTGACTGCAGTACTTTTTTTTTTTTTTAGTTCCAGTTTTTGTAGATACCATCCTGTGTTCAGCACTGCCTATTGTGAGCCACATTTCCATTTCAAACGGTGCTGTACTACTTTAAGAGCAGGAAATGATCTTAATTTGATTTGTCACCAAAAAAAGCCCCTTGCTTTTATGAGGAAGTTGATCTAAGTTAAAGATCTTAGATGGAGCTGAGCAGTGACAGCCACATACTGAACGCACTGAAGTTCTCATACCTGAGCATGGTCTGCGGCACCACCCAACAGCATGCGTTTCAGATTTCTCTAGCCTTGTTTAGGAGGCTGAAAGCTGGAGATTGTGCCTTAGTCCTGATTCTTCCATTGATGTAAAGATCTCTTTACTTGCAGCTGGGCTGTACTTTACTGTCCCAGGGCCCCCAGTCTTCTCAGTAGGTGTTGGAGAGTTGTTGGATGCACTGTGATAGTGCTGCGAGGGCTCTGATTTTGGCCTGAACACTCACTGGTGGCAAAGAGCTTCAAGGGTTAACCTGCTAGCTGACTGTGGAGTAGAGAGAAATACTTTTTCAAGCATCATATTAAAATATTTTTATTGTCTATGAAAAATAGGCAGTATATCCATATATAGACTTTGTTGGATGATTTTGCTCTTGTTAAGTTTCCAGCTGCGGTAAGCCTCTGATATTGCTGACATTTTTGTAACATGGCTCTAGATTTATTCCTAAATCACTGTCAGAAGAGATTGAACTTTGATCCCATTGTACTTATTTTGCCAAAACAAAGATATGTGTGCTGGAGTTTCGTGGAAAATTACTTCCTTTTCCTGCTTATTTACGCATTAAAGTACAAATTGCCCAAATTGTTGGTCAAGAGGAAGGTAATCTGTGATTAGAGACAGACCCATACCCTTGTAGAAATGAAAAATGGTACAGTTATAAATTAAAGGTCTGGTATCATTAGGTGGATTCCTCTTTAGATGTCCTCTTCTAGCAAGTATTCTGTTAGTGCTTTATATTTGTATGTGGAAAAGTCTCCAAACCACTATATTTGCATGAAGGCCTATGCTGAGTTTAGTACAGTGAAGGTAGAGAGGTTGTTCTCAGTCTGTTTATTCATTACAGTATTCTTTATTGAATGATAATACAGAAGGTAAGTATTTTGGGCAAGAAAGAACTTTGTGCAGCTTCAAATAAAAATAAACATATTTTTCCTGACCTTTCTCTGTTTGATTTCTTACTGGATCAAATGCCAAAGGGCTTGTCAGGGGCTCAGTGAAGGCTGAAAACCTGGAGTTCCCTCTGGTGGCTGACTGCTGTTGGAAAGCATGATTTATCTTAAGGAGTGATACCGTTAATCTAAAGATTACCAGAATGAAAACTGTACTATATTAATCTAAAATAGACTCCCATCTTTCTACAGCATTTAGTGTATCACTGCCACATAACCATAAAATGACATGCAGCTTGTTTCAGACTGACTTTTTGCTTAGAAAAGTGGTGTGTAGCAGGAGGCGTCTTTGTAATGACAGGATACTATACTAGAATGAGGAACTGACTTTTCTCTAAACATTACATTTTTAAATGTTAATATTTAAATAAATCAGTAATTACTGGTTTTGAGGAGAAAATGCCCTGAATGTTCCATTCATGGCACCAAATGGATGGATGACTAGGAAATGAAACCTCCTCAGGTTTTGTGGCTTTGTTTTATTTGATTTTGAATTTTGGGGGGGGTTTTGTGTTGTTTTTTTTTTTTTTAAATCATGTCAATTTTAGAAGTTAATTAATGGCTTTAATTAAAGATTATGCAGCCTTAGAGAATTGTTAAAGATTATTTTGCAATACGTGTATATAGCAAGCTTCACAGGCATGGTTGGTTACAAGTACTCTGAGTAGAAATGTCCACCCTATGCATATCTCTTACCACACTGTCTTCCACATTCTCCCCTTTGCAAATGGAAGCTTTTATTTGACTTGTGATGCATCATTAAAATTTCATATCAATATTTAATCCCTTCGTTATCTTAACAAAACCTGAGATTGCACATTCTTTGAGAAAATACTGGACATTCTGCAAATGGCTTGAAGAAAACAATATTTTGAGTTGTGCCCTGAACCCCTGAGGTAGACTTCACAAAAGGCTCTATATAAACTCTGTATAAATTTCTGGAAGTGCATTTGTTCCTCTGTGTGCGTGTATACACTAAGCTTTGGTAACATGCCAGTATTTACACTGCCACAACTGTCTTAATAAACAACAACACAGTGTTTGGCTGGGCAAGAAGTCTGCCAAATCCAGTACTTGGAGCTGTCTGCCATGACAGTAATAGCCTGTTTGCAGAAGTCAGTCTTTGTTGTTTATTGGGTCTGAACTGTCTTCATTAGTGACCACCTCTTATTGCATCCATATTCAGAGATTTCCCCCCCCCCTTCCCCGTACTTTGTGTATTCAGTATCTTTGCAAAGTTTCTATCTAGTTAAGCCATTAAGACTGGCTTATTTTACTTTGAAGCCTAAGTCTTAAATTTTCTTAATCTAATCATAGAGATTTCATGATATGTGCTGTCAGTGTAAAAAGCTGATTTGTAATAGATACCTCTCAGTTCTGGTTTGTTTTGGTTTTTTTTTAAATAGGGTACTATAGATAATATGAAAAATAATGAGTGGGATCATCCACATATTGCTCTATATAATTCAAAGGAAAAAAAAAGTGAACTGATTGGAAAGATAGGTAGTTTTTGAGTGTGTTTTCAATGAAATTTAACAGCTTAACCTCAACTATCCCCTGCCTTCCCCTGAATCAGATCTATCCTGATTTTACTTGTCATTTCAAAAACACTGTTCTGTTTGGCTTTTAGGCTCTTGATCTGGGGAAGCCATTAATTTTCTAGAAGTCTTTTGGGAAACAGTCTTGACTGTGGCACTGAATGTTCCCAGAAGAGGTTGACATGTTTTGGACTATGAGTTCTGCTGAACTTTTAATTTCATTCAGTCCTTTTTACACTTAGTTCTGTTTTAGATGGATATACTTATAAAAAGAATCTGTTGTGAAACACAGGGGTTTTTTTCTTCCCAAAATAGCGAAGTGAATAATGGCAAAATACTTGATTTTTAATTTCTGCTCTTGGGAACTTGTATATTTTCTTTGGTTTCAGAGCAGGAAAAAGTTGATAGGGTGGTTGCCATCAAGGAAAAATAAATCTGCTCAGTTTGTATGTGGGTTTTGCTCCGTAACTTCCTTTGAATCATTTAAGCTGTCTGTATCCATGGTAATTTTCTGTACTCCTAAATGCTACTTTGGCTCTGTGCAGGATCTCACTTCTGAATTAGTAAATTCCAGTAAAGTACTGAAACGATAAGAGTGCTGTTTATTTAGACTTATCAGAGGTCTTAAGCTTTAGATTTTTCTTATTTTCATTCTTCTGGCAGTGGTGCAGACAATACAGTCCTTCAGGTCTAACTTAGTACCTTGCTTTTTGGAATGGGGAAGGATGTGCTGGCAGCTTTCAGAGGTAGTCTTTTTTTAGTTAAGGTCCATAAAAAAATGTCACTTCAAGAAGCTCGCTTGGTCTGGAGATCTAGTGGTCTTTCAGTTAAAAAACTTTGCCTCTCTACTTAAGTAAATTGCTATTGTGTGTTCATTTGAGGCATATTTTTAAACCGTTCTAGAGTAAATAGGAATAGCTGCATATGGCAGCGCACCAGTTGCATACAGCTATTTTTATGTCTGGGGAGAGACCTCTGGGGCTTTGAGTTCACACCCGTGTAGGTCTTTGTATTCTTGTATTGTTAACTCATATCACATGCCATCTTAATGTTTGAAACATTGCGATCTAGAATGTGGAAAAAAAGTATTTGTCTGTCTTATTTAATAGACTAAATAGTTCTTTATCAGTAAGTATATTCCGCTTAATTACATACTGCTTAGAAATTTAAGGTGAATTGTCCAGCCTTGTGCCCTGAGATACCAGGCAAGACACTGCTGTTCTGAGTGACCTGGCTGATTTTTGAGTGGATAGAAATTGCTATTGAAAACTCTTACAGATTTAAGAATTCACTTTCTGATATCTTACTGCCTTTCTCATGTCCTTTATTGATTATATGAACGATTTCTTCTAAATCTTTGTTTTACAGATTGAAGAAAGGCCAGAAAAAGACTTTGAGAAGGTAAGAAGGATCTTATGAATTATTTTGACAGTAGTGCTTTCTTCATGTTCTTTTTGATAGGTAGAACTTGCAGTGAGTGTACAGAAATCTATAAAATCCATTGTGGGGAAAAAATTTGAGTTGTTGAAGCCTTCTACTACATTTTTGAAGATGAACTTTTCAACATCTAGTCATTCAGATGTTAAGTGGTTGATCTTCAGCAGCAGCCAGCTGAAATTGCTCTAGGCTAAGCCACATGACCACTGTTTATTAGATTTTAATTATGGGATTATGTAAGAATAAATAACCTTTAACAAAAAAAAAAAAAAAAAAAAAAAAGGAGGATACTGCAGTAGTGGGAAAATGGCTTAATGCAGAACCCTCACTTCAGTAAAACACTTAATGTGTCTACTGCAGCAGGGTAATAAATACCCATAAAAGGAAAGGGGCTTGAGAGGTAGTCAGAGGTATCCACAAAATGTATTACTATACCTTCTGAAAATACCTGGCAAGATGATGCTAGCCCCTAAAGACTTTGTCTAATTAAGAATTAGAGTTAGAAGCCAAGTCAGGCAAACTCTTATTACAGTAGTGTTTAAGTATATCTGATCTGCCTTTTCTCATTAGTTTTCCTTGTTAAGTCTTGGTCTTTTGATTTTTCTTGTTACAAAGTTACATTTTAATAAAATCTACATATTTTAGAAGTGCACGGGTTGGTGTAACACATGCATTAAACAAACCAACAGCAACAAACTACAAGTCCACAATATATCTGGAGAGAAAAGTTACAACCATTTTTTACTGTGTGTGATTGTAGGGAGCACGTACTGTCTCAAGCTTATCAGCAGCTACCTTGGCTTCTCTGGGTGGGACTTCATCGCGAAGAGGCAGTGGGGACACATCCATCTCAGCCGATACAGAGGCATCTATTAGAGAAATAAAGGTAAGAAATCCTTAAAACCAACATAAATTATTAAACACCCTTATACTTCTTTCCAAAAAAAAAAAACCTGTCTTGTCTCCCCCTCCTGGCAGTTCTGACAAAATGAACTGTATGCTGTGAATGAAAAGTGAATAGCTTTATTAGAGAGATGCTGCTGGGAAGCTAGTATGTATTGCAGGAATAGTTGGATAAAGTCCTACAGCATATGATATCAGAACAGACTGATCATAATAGACGATCTCATCCTAACCTAAGGAAACAGGAAATGGACTCAATGTATCACACTGATAGGAAGATTGAAGTAATGCAGGAAGCACTGCATTTACTGGATGCTCATTTGGGGAGAGGGGTTTATTTTGTAGTCTAATTCGTGATTCCATGACATTAGACTCATCTGAATGGCAAATTGATACGGAATCCAGCGTTCATATCACTGTGTGCTAGTCTGGGTGGTCCACGGCTAAACTGTTTTTTGTCATCTTGTTTTTTAATGCTTCATTCTGAAGACTATTTTAAAATGGGGAATCTGAATTCTGTGAACTCTCATGCGTACAGCTTGCAACTCTTCTGAAATTATTGCCTATTAAAACATGTGGAATTTGTATTAGGACCTCAGATACAAGCAGGTCTGTCCCAGTTTCAGCACTGTAAAACAACTGAAAGATAGCCATTTGCTGGGGACAAGGGACAAAAGAGGAGAGAGACTGTGAAGTAGGACTTATAGTTGAATTTAGTGTGACAGATGGTTTTCATACAATTTTTCCTACATCTCTGTAGTATAACCTGTATTGCAGACTGACTTTGGCAGCCCTTACCCTTAATACAAGAATTCCTCAAAGAGCGTGATAATCAGTGAAAAGGATAGAGAAGGGCTGTGTTGCTGGGGTGTGTAATTGTTGGAGTCTTTGAAGCTGGGTCTGCATCTTGTCCTTAACAGTGAAGATTTCATTTTTTCCAGTCAGGAAGAGCAGAATTAGCATAAACTTATAACCAAGAAATTTCATTGTCCAGTAATGCTCAGGTTAGGATCAGACCCATTAACCTGTTTGGTAGAAATATTTAAATTAGAACTCTGGATACCTGCTTTTCCTTCTCAGCTGTGCTTCTGCCTGTTAGTTTCAGTGGCACCATTCACTTTTCTCACCGTTTTCCTCAGGATATCTATGAGTTAAAGGACCAGATTCAGGATGTAGAAGGCAAATACATGCAGGGACTGAAAGAACTGAAGGTACTGGTTTACTGCAGACTGGGAGTGATCATTAACACCAGCTAAACATTCAGAGAGTTGGTGTGAGACCTAGAACTGACCTTGCATGCTTTCCTCTGGGAAGGGTTGGGAATTCTGTGAAAACTGTTTCATTAACTGGAAAAGTATCTGTTCTGCCCCTGATTGTGGTGAGAAATGCTTCCAAATGTTAACTGAAAAGCTGCTAATTACTGCTGAGTGTTGTCTTTGCTGTTTTGAGAAGGTAATCACTTTGCTAGCAAATTAAAATTATTAGTTTGGGTTTGTTGTTTTTGGGGTTTTTTTTTATAGCTTCCTAATCCATAAAGCCTCCCAATATTGGAAGATTAACTCATGTCCTACAGTGCTAGGAAAAGTCAGAGTTTAAAAGCTTCTATGATTTTTGTTTTGATAAGGTCCAGCATGCCTTTGGAAGGTCATGCATGTGAGGCGGTGACTATAATTTTGGTTTCATATTTAGATCGCAGAAGACACCCTTAAACAAATCATGTACCAAAACTTCATCTAACAAAGCTTGTTGTGTGAAGAATGGATACTCACACCAGGTTGGCGCTTACCACTTCCACAAAGGCATAAATGGATTTTGGTGCACAACTAAATTGTGCATCCATGTACAGCCATCTCATAAGTGAGCAGCAACATGAGCTGCATTTTTTGGAAAAGGCAGTCTTGCAAATATATATGTAGACATCCAGGCATATAATGCAACTTTTATCAGCTTTAATTGCTGACTGTGTCGTTGGCTCAAATGCTGTGACAGGCCAAGATGCTGCCATCTTAAGTGACTTGTCAATGGAAAAAGAGTAGTTTGGCCCTTTTTCTGTAAAACCTAACTGTTTTTTTTCACTGATCACTGTGTAGCAGGTGTAGCAAAGCAATCACACTACTTTAAAAAATGTACGTAATTTTTCAATTTTTGTCCTTTAGACTGCCTTTTGTAATGATTTGGACCTAAGCTGCGCTGCTTGATGCTAAGAAAACAAAAACAGCACGTTCAAGGAGTGTTGCAGCAACTACCTTAACTTCTTACTTTCATATACTTCCTTTCCAGCCAATTTCTGAGGTTTGATCCTACAACTTTCCAAATCCGGGTGGCTTTCCTGCACATGGTATTTCTCATCCTTGGTCTGTAAAGTGCACCAAACCCACTTTTTTTTTTTTTTTTGGAACTGTACAAATTCATGTCCTTAAAGACAAATTATTTTATTTGTAAACAGAAATGTAAGCTAAACTGATTCAGACTTAATTTTGTCATCATCTCACCACTGTCATCCCCAGTTACATTTATTGAATGAAAAAGGAAGTATATGAAATTCACCTGTGCTTTAGATGTAATTACTAGAATTACTTAAGTTCCAAGAGAAATTGCTTGACCTGTAAACTAAAGTGTTGACATGGGTGTCCTCCTTGTTTGCGTATTTGCACTGTTTTGTTTATGTAATGCTCTTATTTCTGTATTAAAATCAAATAGTACAATGTTTGACTGCACAACACAGAAAATGATCCCGATCTTTATTTTGCCATCATTTGTTATTATAAATCAGTATTTTAGATTCAAGTCAAGTTGATAGGAGGGGTTTTCAAGACTCTGGGAATTGTATCTTACAGGGTAAATTTGCAAAGAAGGGATGTGATACAGGAAACCTAATGAAAGATGATACATAAAGGTCACAAAAGCTGCAGCTCTTTCACAGTGAATCCTAACTCCTGAGTCAGTATATTTAGTGGTTCCCACACTGCAAAGATCCCTGAAATTTGTGTGAATTGGCTGTTAAAGTGCCTTCATTTAAGGCCTAAGATCATCTGAAATTGTCTTAAATCAAGGCCAGTTTACCTTTAAAAAAAAAAAAAAATCCAACTTGTCATCTTCAGCAGCTACTTTAAGCTGCCAATGTACAGGGGCAGCCAGGGGGAGGGAGAAGGAAGAAAACTCTGAGAAGGCAGAAGCTGAAACAGCAGAGAACAGGAAACATTTTATCTGTCCTGAGGTAAGGCTCCTTGCTTGTAAACAGAGGTCTGGTGGGAACACAGAGGAGGTTATCCGCACCTTGGAACAGTTGGTGAGCCTCTTTAGCTCATGATTAGCACTGGTTTCCCTAGGAGTACTGAGCGTGTTTGTGGTTTAGTATTTAATTTTCTTGTTGAAGGTCTTGGTTGGCAAAGTGTCATTTATAAATGACTCTTGACTGTGGTTGCTTATTCCTTGCAGGACTCTCTAGCTGAAGTTGAAGAGAAATATAAAAAGGCTATGGTGTCAAATGCTCAACTAGACAATGAAAAAACAAATTTCATGTACCAAGTAGATACCCTGAAGGATGCACTCTTAGAGTTAGAAGAACAGCTGGCAGAATCCAGACGACAATATGAAGAAAAAAGTAAAGTATGTTTATAGCTATGGCATGTTACTTTACAGTGAAAGTTTTTTGGAGTGTGCCAGAGATCTTTGGGAGGAGGCAACCAAATTACTATTCAAAATTTTAAATAAGTTATTGGTTTAGTTACTGTTAAAGCAAGTGGATAGCAGCATTTTATGTGCTTGTAATCATACAAATGGGAATCTTCCCTAAATTTCTGTCTTAAGCAATTTCTGAGAAAGTGAAGAAATCTTTTGTATGGTAAAGCTATGCTGCTATTATCACAGGTCATTTTATATTCCATATTTAAAGTGAATTCAGAGGGTTTGTTCATTGTGACTTCTGGAGCATTTTTACACGCAAAGCCCTCTTCAGAAGGCCTGTGCAGTTTATATAGTTAAGGCAGCTACTTGGTTGAGAGCTGAATTAAGTTTTACATTAATTCAGCATCTGACAGCTAGTGACGGTATTAAATAATAAAGCTATGGCTTGTGTTAGCTTTTCAGAACTTTGCTTTAGCATGGAGCATTTCACTGTAGAGTACTTCAAAACACCTAGTTCCTGGAAGATACAGTGTGCTGGGGTTTTGTTTGTTTTGGTTTGTTTGTTTTTCTAAAAATCCATAGTGTCTAGCTAACTTTTAGTACAGGGCTATGTGGAAGGAGTGGGTTAAATTCCCATCCATTCATCTGTGAAGTCTGTAGGACTTGAGTGTAAAAGCTAGTCACTGCCAGTGTGCTGCTCAATTTATTAAACTGGCTAAATGATGTCTGTCGCTTCTATATTTGATGGAATAATAGTTTCTTGGAAAAAGGACAAATAAGATAAAAATTGTGGGATTGTGATTAGAGGAATATTCAAGAATTGCATTGCAGTAAGCATTTTCTTTGTGGTTGGGCTTATTTTTCTCATTTTTTCACGGGATGCTATTTTTGATCAATAAAAATCTCATGAATGTTTCATTATTCATAGGAATTTGAGAGGGAGAAGCATGCTCATAGCATATTGCAGTTTCAGTTCATGGAAATCAAAGAGGCTTTGAAGCAAAGAGAAGAAATGCTTGCAGTAAGTAACTTTTTTTTTAATGGCTTCTTTGATTGGTATGTTCCCAGTTAGCAGTAGGAGCGTAGAAGGTGAGGCATGGAGAATTTTATTCCCTTCTCAGGTTTCTCACCTGCTGAAATACTAGTGTTTCAGGCCAAACAGGTTCAGAGCTGACTAATAGAAATAGTACTTTCGTAAGTATTATCTGAAAGTGGACTTCTTTTTTTGCCTTGTATGTAATACGAAATAAGCTGTGTTTCAGATGGCTGTTTGTGGAGATGCAGAGGAAACTTGTGGAACTGTCCAACTTGTTTTAACCACCTTGCGGATAGTACAATTGTCTTCAGGAGTGTAGGTTTAGTTGAGATGTCAGAAACTGTGAAACTGTGCATGTAAATACATTTTTACTTTAGCACCTGACTTTTCATTCTTTGGCATCACTGCGATCTTAACCTTCTTTGTTAACCTGTTACCTGCTTTCTGTCTTCTTGTTTTGCTCCTGTTTCTCAGGAAATCCAACAGCTGCAACAGAAACAGCAGAGCTATGTCAGGGAAATTTCTGATCTTCAGGAGACAATAGAGTGGAAAGACAAAAAAATAGGGGTAGGACTGTCAACTCCTGAAATATGTTCAGAGTGGCACTGTCGTTCTCCAGCTGATCCTGCTTGTGCAAAACTTCATTAACAAAATCCTCCGTAGTGACTTTGCTTGGTGTGGCTGTCTTACTATATTACCAGTGAACTAGCAAATAGCAAATTTTGTCTTTGGCCAGTATCATAAAATCCAAGAAAAAATTTAGCAGCTGGTCTGATTTCAAAACCTGGGGTAATTTATTTGCTGTGGTGCACCATTTGTATTTGCTGTATTGAGAAAGGAAAAGATATTTATAATGCAATTGCATCAGCACTGATTTTTTGCTTATTCAGATTTAATCTGCAGACTGAGCAAAAACTGGAGTGTGATATAGGAGTAACAGAGCTATTTATGAGCTATTGGGATGAAAGTCTCTTAAGTCCCTAACCCTTGCCTCTCATCCCTTCCCACCACCCCCTATCCAAGCCAAATGGAAACCCACTCTTAAAGAAAAGCGTGGCTTCCTTTTCTGGCAGCGAGCACTGAAAGACTTTCTGAATATAGGAGGAGAAAGAGATCTGGCAACTTGCCTGTCCTTTTGATGTCCAATAACTTGTAACAACTTGAAACTTAAAATTGTCCAAATTTTGTTACTGTTCTATTTGTACTTACATAGAAATACTGGGGGAGTTTAGTAACAAAGTGTGCATTTGCACATGGTACATCCCAGCCTAAAGATGACTTAATAGCAGCATTCAAATTAATTGAAGTGTACTGCACCAGTGATGGTAACCCATGGAGTAAAAAGACTATTAAAATCTGCTGGGCCTGCTTTCAATGCCCTTCTGTTAACACATGGGAATGGCACTCTGTCTTCAGTGTGGGTGTTGAAGGAATATGGGTATGAATTAACTTGTCTAGCAGATAAGAATGAAATGTGGATCCTCATTTGAAGGATCCCTAATGAAGAATTGGGCTCTGAATGTCTTTAGTAGAAATTCCTGGATATTGAATAACTGTGACTTTCTTGGATTTGAAGTTTATCTCTGTGTGTGTAAACTAGGTCCTTTAATCTTTAAACTTTACCTTTTTCATACATGCTACTTCCATCAATCTCTGAATATCTGAATCAACTCATTCTTGTTTACACTTGCTTTTCATGGTCTTTACTTGTCTCCTTTCCTTTCTTCACATCTTCTCGCCCTCTGTCTGTGTTGGGAACTCAGGCGTTAGAGAGGCAGAAAGATTTCTTTGATTCCATAAGGAGTGAGCGGGATGACCTTAGAGATGAAGTGGTTGTGCTGAAGGAGCAACTGAAGGTATGCAAGAGGAATAAAAGAAACTTCAATTCAACTGCTGACCTTTTCCTCCTGTACATTTTTGCAGAAAATTTGAATCTAGCTCAGTAGCTAGAACTCTTATTTTCATGTTGCCTATAAATTCCCATTTCAGGAATTTTCTATATAACGTCCTTCCTCTTAATATTGACTGTGAGCTCTTAGTGTAGACTATAGTACTAAGTAGTTGCTTTTGTAGGAGATACTTCTCTGAGGAACATTTTACACAGCAGATTTATGTTTAAAAAAAAAAAAAAAAAGAGCAGCGATCACATGCTTTCTATCATAATGGCTAAACTGAGAACTGTAATGTGCTCTTTTCTGACTTCCAGCCATGTTTAATGGAACGATTGAAGCAATTGTTTATTCAGAATATCAAGGACAAGAACACTTGAACAAGCCTCCTCTTTCTGAGCAACAGGCTCTAAAGCATTGCTTTTGCTTCTCCACAGAAACATGGAATAATTCCAGACTCTGATGTAGCCACCAACGGGGAAACATTGGACATTCTTGATAACAAAGGTCACTTGGATTCTTCCAAAACTGTTCCAGGCACAACTCAGGCATTAAAGACAGGAGGGGATGGGATGCTAGGTAAGTGCTGTATATCCTTTCACATCTTTCTGTCTCTCTGTCCATTCATTCATCTTTGCTTGGAGTTTGGGCATTTGTTAGTGGGACAATTAACACATCACGCAGCATGCCACTTGTTGAATCACCTCCTGTGCATTTTTCTGCTTAAGATTTATTATCACTTCAAGTATGTTGTGCAGTTACCTGCAAAGGCAGACTTCATCTCCCATTCAAGGCAACAAAGGACAAGAACACAAATATTACATTACAGATAAGTAGCAATCATTCAGATTACTGTCTAAACCCTGAATTTGAAAATTGTCCCAGAATAATTGTACTATTGTTCAATATTTTTTCAGCACGTATCCTAAAGAATCAGAAAAAAAGCCATTTTAGTTTCCTATAAAAAACTTGTATGTCGGTTCATTTATATACCTGAGAACTGTGTCTGCTGAACATCAGTGCTGGGCGCTGTTAAAACACTAATGTATGAATTTATTATTCTTGGTGTCTGGTACTGTTGAGCAATTAATATTAACACTTCAACATTTTTACTTGTCATAATGGGATTAACGCTGTTAAATTCAAAGAATACGACTCTGAGATGGATAGTGTTAGGAAGGAGAAATCTGGTTGGCAAAAATATTCTTATGCACTTGTGATGAATGACCACTCAGAACTTTTATACTAGTAGAAGGAAAGGAAATAATAGATTTATTTTTTTTCCCCTCTCCTGTTTTTGTTCTAAATGAACATACTAATAAATAGCAACAGGCAGCCAACTGTTGCAAGTGCAAATTATCTTGCTTTTAGTTGTTGGCTGCTTTTGCCTCACTGAGTTTTTGTGCAGAAACAATCTGGAACACCAAAATCAAGGTAAGGGTATATTTTAAAATGTAATATGTTTTCTGTCTCTCTTTTTATTTTTATTTTTTTTTATTAGGTACAACATAGACATAGACCCAAAAGCTAACTGCTGAAACCACAAACATTGTTGTTCTAATACCTGTTGCTTCTAAATATATATAAGTTGAAGAAAAAAAAAACCCCAAACCACAGAAGGTTCCCATCCATTTGGGTGGATGGAGTGGCTGTGAAGGGCACTAAATACATGCGCTTTGATCTGTGTTGGTAATGTTAAACAGCTGAACCATTGGCTTGCCAATCAGATTTTACATTCAGTGTTTGTCATATACACTGATGACGCCTGTTTATGATACTTAGGAGTAAAATATTACTGAATAATCCTTGATTACTTCATTATAATGGCATCAGACACACACTCCTGCCTGCACAGAGTGGTGTCAGTGTTAAAATTCTAGAGAATATTGTTGAGAACAAATAGTCTTTACTGTTAGTGTTACATCTGCAAGTATTACAGTTAAATTGCACGGTTTGAAACAGTTGTTCTTGTCTACAAGAGCTGTAATTCACCCAGTCGAGAGCAGAAATCTTTTACTTTACAAAACCAAAAGTCAGCACCAGAAACTTCTTGCTTTGAGAGGGTGGTGGTGAATTTCACTGATCAAAAACCCCGAACCCTTACTAATTCAATTGCTGCTTTGCCTCACGTAATTGGCAAAAGCTGATCTTTTATTAACCTATTCTTTGATTCATTCTCTTTCGGGTTTTAAGTGGGGAGGTAAGTGCTATAGTGTGGTCCCTTCAACTTTCTCAATGGTCTTTTAGGCAAAGCCAATGAAGTGGACATGAAAAATGAGATTTTGGAGGATATGGGGAAAAGAGAAATCTTTCAGAATACTGAGCGTGAGGAACACAAAGAGGAATCTGAGGAGCAGGAAGTACAGACATTGCATGCTGATGAAAATGCAAAGGCAGAAAAAATGGTTGAAGAACGTGATGCCCTGTCAACAGTGAACTTACCAGATAGCAGGTTTACAGAACAAATTCAAAGCCTTACAGAATATGTATCAGGGAATGCTTCTTCAAGTGATGCTAGTGACATGGGTGATTTGAGAAAGGAGACTGAGTTCGCAGGCACAGCACTCCAGCAGCCTGTTAGTACAGAGGCTGAATGGCATGGCTTCAGTGCAAGCACAGATTGGAACTCAGAGGTGGGCTCTCTGCAAGCTCATCAGGTTTTTGAGACTCCTCAGGAAATGCCTCGTGACTTAGGTACAGAGCATGAACTGGAAAAAGCTTCACCGGAACAGGAAGAACGAGAAGATCTTAAAGCTACGAGTGATAATGAAATGAATCAAGAAGGTGAGATTGCAAGGGGGAGCTGTGAGTTAGTTTCTAAGCAGGCAGAGCTACCAGAGGTTACAGCAGCAGGGTCTCTTAGTGAAGAAGTAAATGTGGAGAGTCACGCTGAGGGATTCCAGCACTCAGAAGAACATGCTGAAAACAAGGTTACAAATGTCTTGGGGGAAGAGCTTGTTGAAAGCAAAGACTGCACTGATGGAAGAACTGATAAAACAGGAGGTGATAGAGCTGGTGAAGAAAATGGGGGTGGGAATGCAGTTCAGGGTCAGATGAGGGAAATGGACTCTGTGAGTTTGGAGAGGACAGAGTCATGCAAAAGTGGTATCCCAGCAGATAGGAGTGAAAAGGAAGGTGGAAGAGATCAGGCACGCATCCGGTCAGTTTCTTCAGAGGACAGTCTTTCAGCAGCACCAGAGGAACAAAATACGCAAGATGAAACTGAACTTGAAGATGCTATGGCTGAGAAGGACAGACAGAAGGAGATAGTAATAGAAGAGCTGGAGCTGTGTTCAGATTCTGCAGAAACAGGAGAGCAAGATAAGGCATCTGTGGAGGCTGTAGGCTGTGTTACTGAGGTAAAAGGAAGTGTGCTGCAGCAGGCAGAGCCAGACACAGGCGATGCGAAAGAGATGGCAACTCAGGAAACCAGTTTAGGTGCAAGTCTTGTAGATGACAAAAATAAGGACTCAGAATTGGAAACAGGGGAAGACTCTGGGAAAGGAAAGGAAAGTAGGAAAGAATGGGTAGAAGATTTAGAGTCAAAGGCAGAAGTTGAGACAATTCAGTGTAGTGAAGAAACAACAGGTGATACAGTGGGAGAGAAAAAGCTTCCTTTAGAAGGAGAAGCACAGAATGTAGTTAAACAAGAGGAAGGTGAATCTAAAGAGGAGTCAACTGCAGATGTTAGTGTAACTACTGACAACAAAGTTGATAAAGAAACACTGAAAGAAAATGAGCAAGAGTTAGAGCTTGCAAGCCACTATGGTGGTGGATTTGCTTCTGAGGAAGGTGCAGATAATTCCCTAGCCCAGAAAACTGAGCAGGATGAAAATGTTAGTGAACAAGTGAAATTGGAGGGTCAAGCAGGGGAAAGACTGGAAGATGATGGTGATGCATTTGATTTTGATGAAGAGTCAAAACAGATACTAGAAACTGATGAAAAATGTAATGGAGAAAAAGCTGATACACAAAAAGAAGAGGGTAATGGAGCAAATGGGGCTGTTGGAAAAACTGCCCAAACAGATGAAGCTGGAGAAAGAACAGACAAAATAGAAACTGAAGATGCTTTGACTGAAGATGGCAGCTTGCAGCACAAAAAAGGAGATGAGCTTGACAAAACAGGGTGCTTGCAAGAGGAAACTGGCGAGAGGACTGATGTAATGGAAGATGAAATCAAAGCATCAGTTTCTAATAAAGTGGAAAAAGTACCAGATGAAAATGTTTCAGAACAGGAGTTGGAAAGTACTGGCAATAACAGGGATGAAAGCAGGGAGGATTTGCAGGGTGGTAGAAGGGGGAAGGGTAAATCCAGAGATGACTGTACAATATCATAAGTTCAGAATCTCAAGGTTACATGAGTTACATGCCATTCGATCAGTCCCAATACAGAAGCATACACTTTGCACAATACAGCAGACCTTCGGAATACTCTTTAAAAAGTTTTTTCTTTATAGGTAACTCACATTGTAATACAGTGTTATGTAAGTGGTAATGTTGCAAGTATTAAGTAATTCACTGACGTACCTAGCCACAAGAAATTGTGTGTGGGTTTGGTTTTGCTGTATCTAAGATTACAAATTTATGACCAAAAGACAAAATCACAAATCGACTATTAAGACTGTCTTGCAATTAAAGTACTTCTAGTGTGGATAACTGCTACTGAGGAATTTCTATAGGAAATTATTTTTTTCTAGCCTAGATGATAGATGTCTTGAATGTACTTATGTGCATTGGACCTTTGTGAATGTATGCGCATACTTCTGTGTACTTGCATGCATTAGATCTATAGTAAGTACATTAACACTTTGTGAAGGAGCTCAGTAGATCAGCAATACTGATCTGATGTTGAAACTTCTTTCTGAATGTTTAAAGCCTAGGAACCAATTTTTTTTTTTTTTTTAAACTATGGAAAAAAAAAGATACTCTCATTCCACTTTATGACCATATTAGAAATACACACATTCTAAAATCTAGTTAGATCACTGTGAATCTGCTTAGTCTAAACACTTTGGAAGAACAGTATAGTTTGAAGGAAGTGCAATATACAGGTGTTAGTTTGCTGAAATGAATATATACGTTTACTTCATCTAGGCACTTTGCACCACACAGGCCTTTTACACCATGTCTTAAATGGCTTTTTATTTTTTCCAAAGTGTCAATACACACTGTAATGTGTGCTTAGGTTTGCTATCAACTACTGTCTAGCTATGAATATATAAAATATCTATTTTTCCAAGAAGATTTTTGTTTAAAATTGCATTTCCTTACTGAATTATATTTTTTGCAAACTATGATTCTGAAAGAATGTTTTTTATCTCTGAAAAATTCTTACCTCTTCCTTTCTGGAAAGAAGGTAACTTTGCATGTTTTAATTCTTGTTAAATATCAGACCAAAGATGATTGTTGTTCTGTATACTAGCCCCGTGCCTTTTTGAAAAGCTGGATTGCTTTGAATTGTTGGCATAAATTAGACACTTTAACCCTATCGTTATATTTCTTCTTGCATCTTTGCTAGTCCTTTGGAGGAAAAGCATGTTTTGCATTCTTAAAAATTCATTTAAAGTTGTTCTAAGCAATGAAAGCCCCAAGGGAATGCCAAGTGAGGAGCTGGGGTGGGGGGCTATGGAGGGCTGTATTTGTGCTGATGTTACGAAGTTAATGGAATACAAACAGACTGCAAAATTTCAAGATGTATATCAAAATGTACTGAGCTGTATATAATTAAAATAAACATATTTTATACTTCAAATTCCCTGTCCAGAGCACTGTTTATAAACCTGCATAAATATTTACTTAAATCTGTATAATTTCAACAACATGTTTCTGCTGCTTTGTTAAATTTATTGTGTTGTGCTAGATAGCTAGAAGAGCTATGTTACTAGGAATGGGCAGCCTTGGTGTTTGAGGACCTTTAATATATGATGGGCACCCTTAACTGTAAACCTGTAACACAGGACTGTAAGCCTGTAACTCTTCATACGCCTTCTCTCCAATTTACAATAGTTCCAGTATGGTGTCTGTAAGTATTAGCACTTGTTCTTCAGGGTTTACACTAAATGCTAATCTAAAAAGTCATAGATCTTAAAAAGCATCTCTTGTCACTATGTAGCAGTGTTTGTTTAAAGATTTGTCTCTGCTGTACTCGCAACATGAATATATTGTTTAATGGTTGAAAGTATTTTAAATGCATTCATATTTAAATGTTAAATACACTTACCTATGTAATTAAGCACTTACCAGGCTTCACCTATACTTGTGGATAGATCTGTAAGCAACTCTTGAGTTAAATTAGGCACATACCAGCATTTCCTGTGATTTTCATAAGAGTTTGTTTCCAATAGAAATGTTTCTGGATGGTTGAGGGAGTTAATGGTGAGCTGATTTTAACTAGTTTTTCTACTTCAGAAAACAAAGCATCTGTAAGAGTGGTCCCTTTTAAAGCTGAGTCACAGAAGGAGAAGCAACTCTAGTCTTAACTGTCCGCATACCAGTTTTTATCCTGAAGTAACTGGCCAACTCTTGATGAAACTAGGATAGGAGTGCAGAATAGCTGACTAGAAATCCATCCTTGGTAGCTGCTTGGTACCTCTTTTGGCAGCTGGTCCCTGGAATTGGGCAAGTACTGTGGAGGAGAAGGTCATGATATTCTTTATCTCTTTGGTTTTTGCTTGAGTATATGTACATCAAGAGAGAGGGGAAGGTCTCCCAAATAAATTATCTTGAAGATAAAGGAAACTGCTAGATGTTATATTCAAATTTAATAAATACCATATTTATAATAAATAAATAAATAAATAAATAAATAAAATTTATAATAAATAAATAAATAAATATGCCAGCTAGCACTGCATGAAATGTGTGTTATTAGAGAGGGAGAGGAGACAGGGTCTCAGGAGGAATTACCTAGAAAATGCATCTTTTGTGAAGTTGCACAATTGAAAACAGTTTTTTTGGCATTTTCCCTGTGATAATCTTACAGATAAAATAAGATCTAGCTTGTCCCTTTCTTCATTGGTTTTAACTTTCAAAGACAGCAAAACATCAAAATCAGTCTTTTCATGGTCTAACATGAAACCAAGAGATTGTGAGGTGAACTTAGAACCAAGATTTGTATTTGTTGCTGTTGTGTTACCCATTTGAGCAGGGACAGTCTGCTGATGTGTGCTGCAGTGAGCACCGCTCTCGGTGTACAAGGCTTTTGTCTTTCAGAATAGCTACAAGTGCTCACTGGGTTTTCTGTTCAATACCTAGTGGCACATGTAGCCTGTAGCCCAGGTTTGTGCATTACTGTGAATTCAGAGCTAGGCTGAAATGCTTTCAAAAGCAGTAGCTGAAGAAAATTTTTTTCCTTATTCAGCAAGTAATAGTGAAAGGCCTTTGTCAAGATTTCCTTTATTATGGAAAAGAACAGTCCTCCTGTCCCCCTCAAAATCAGTACTGCAAGCTGGTGTCTTCTAAATCTATGCTTATTCACTGTCCCAACAGCCTGTCCTCAGCAGTATTCCTCTTCTGAGGAAGACATTTCTCAGTAATTTTTTTTGTTGTTGTTGTCTTATGATCCAAAATAAATTGACAGATCTGGAGAAGTATTACCCAACCTGCTCTTGATGTGACAGTTGGATTCTTGCAGGCTGTTCTGACTAGCTGCTTAGGGCTGCTGGTGTGACTTCATGGGATGTCTTCCCAATCTCTAAGTGCAATTAACCCCTTTCATTTGCATCAGGATTAATTACTTGCTGGGCCATACATGATGCAAGTCAGTCAGGTTAAAACCGGCTGCTTCCCACCCCATGCTCCCCTCTAAGTAGGAAGAGATGTCAAGGATCTGGGGCTGATCAGGGGATGTTAGGTCAATTGTGCCACTGAAGCAGCAGCCTAGTTAGCAATACTCTGAGTCAACGGCAATACCAAGGTCATGAGAATAGTTGTTAGACTTACAAACAGGCCTGTACAATAGCAGAATAAACTGGTAACCACCACCACCACTCTGTCCCTTGCTCTCTCCCAGGACTTCCCCAGGCCCAGCTCCTCGCATCAGCCCCCTGTTAAGCTCCTTTGCGCATGAAAGCCATGAATTGGAGCAGGGAGTAGCCTGGGAATCGTGCTATGAAGTTAAATATAAGTGAATGTCACACTCTAATTATTCATTGTATTATCTTTGTATGTGAAATAGGATAATGACTGTTACAGATGAGAATTTTAATTAGCTGCCTCATGTCCTAATTCAGTAGATTGCTCTTTTCTGCTTACCTGTTCTCAAGGTCCTCAGGTCCTTGATTTGTTGGAAAAATGTCTCCCATATGCAAAGTTAAGGTGACTCTGCAGAGATATCTATTAAAGCTAAAGTAAGTTTTCTGTGTTAGTGTGGAGTTCTAAGATAAGTGAAGAGACCTTCATCTGTACATGCAAAAAGCTTTTCTACATGAATGGCAATTTTAGCAAACTAACTTCTTCTGTGGTCTTGTAAATCCTACTGTCAGGATGTTGTCTGTCCCGGTGGGGTGCACAGATGTCCATGATGAGGGAAGAGAGAACTGGTGGGGGGATAAGATTTGAAGGTTCATCCCAAAATACTAACATCCATTTTGCAGTGAGATGGGTTGAAGGAAGCTGATGTGCTTCCTTACTGGAAACTGGAGAAGGTGTCCTTTCTTCAGGCAGGCATATTTCATCCCACAGCAGTGATTGTGTTAATAACAGTTACTTAGCTGTGTGCATGACTGAGTTGTTTTCAGGATCAAGGTGGATTATTTGGCCCTTTTGAAGTCATTAAGTTTGGGTTAATTTTGTAGTGGCCTAGAGGTTTCCTTCTGCATCAGCCCTCCTTCACTTTCCCATCCTTAGAGCTTCATTTCTTGATCTCTGCCAACCTGTGACTCACAACCCTATTTCCAAGTCTGAATATCTCTGACTTTTCTTTTACTGTTTGCTTTCCTTGCTTTCTTCATTGACTTTTTTCTTCCCTATCGTTCTTTTACAGAATTTCGGTCTTAGGCTTCCTTTCCTTCCCATATAGATATGTGAATTTGTTTTATTATTTTGAAGGTTTTTGTAAACTTTGCAAGCTTATACTTGTAAATTTTTGTTACTCTCGATCGTTTACAGTATGTGGTTTGTTTGTTGTTTTCATTTGTTTTGTTTTTCCCTATCAATGCTCAGGTGTAACAATGCTGGGTGTGTTACAAATGGCAAAAAAAGAAAAACACCCAAGATAGGACTTGAGGAGGTCCAAAATGAATGCATACAACTGCTGAACTGGGATGTTACTTTTAAGATTTGTATTTGGGTATTGCATCAGAAACCAAGGTAAAGGTTTTATTCTGTGCTCTAGAATAACTGATGGTATATGGAAACTTGTATACCCAGGAGGAGAATGACATACCACGTTATTACTAGCTAATAGGCTGTACACATCTACGATATAGAGACATTAATTTGAAAACTTTATGATTTGACTCAGTACAGACTCTTTATTCTCTTTACTGCACATGTTAACAAAAAAAGGCGGGGAACCACAAGATTTTGACTTGTTCAGGGTTTAACAGCAAAGGAGGACTGATGTTTTCAAAGCTTTTGAAAAATACCAAAGTCTTCAGTAGAATTTACCTGGCAAAAGTCCACCAGCTGTAACTTGTATCTGTAATTTGTCAGTTGTTTTCTTTAAGCTTACTAAAAGACTTTACTGAAAGACTTCTCTTGAGTGACCTTTGGATTTTAACCATTTAATTAACAGGCCAGACCTTAGATGTGGAGTTGAGTTCTGAACACCCTGGGTTCTGCACAGGTGACTGCTTGCTGGCAAGGGAAGCAAGCTAAATAAACCTGCATTAAACATACACTTCAGAATTGTGGAGTAAGACTTGTCTGAGGTCAATATATCCTCTTCTAATAAGTATATTTGAATGCTATGTTCCAGTGTACTTTGTTAATGAGGTAAAGTAATTTTAGTGGTAAGAAATTTGTGAGTACCTGTTGAAATGCTTTCATCTTTTGCACCCCTTAATAGGGAAGGGGAAGAAAACAAGTGATTTGGTTACTTACTGTCAAGTTGTTTTTTCCAGTTGTCTCATTCCGTAGTGTGCACTTTTTTAATGAATGCCACACATATCCATGTGCTGATCTGTAGCACCTCCAAGTTCAAGTGTAGCACAACAGTTGGTCCAGATTGCCCATCGCCTACTTGATGTTTGACCGGAAGAATTGACTATGAAGGATTAAAGAGAAAATAATGTTTTACCAATCTGCTGCATTTGAAACAAAAATAATTTAATGGGCAAATGATTTTCTGGTCGTAATTCTGGAGATAACACAATGTCGTTGCCATGCTGTTTAGGAAAAGAAGTGAAGGTTTAAAGCGCTGAGAATGTGCTTAGCTATGTTTATAGTATTTTCTTTATGTTAAACTGTAAAGATTTGTGAGATTTTGTGTTGCAGTTTTGTTTGACCCTAGAGTTCTTGCATGCTAACCTAACATAGAAGATTAGCCTCTTTGCATGCAGCTGGGTGCTGCTACTGCCGTGACAAGCATGTTCTGTGAGAATGACATAACCTCCCCTGGCTGCAGCCCCTTCCCAGCCCTGTCTGTGGCCTCATTTCCTGTGGTACGTGCATAACTACCTTCATCATTAGTTTCACTAACCTTAATGGTTTGGTCTTAACATCAGAAGCACTCTGAAATGTGCGGCTTGATCAAATCAGCACTGAACTTTCAGTTTTCTCTTTCAGACAGGCTGAAAAAACTCATTGATGAACGAGAATCCTTACTAGACCAGGTAATCACAGGAAAACTGAAATGCTGTGTCTTTACTAAATATAAGAATAGCATATAATAAGAAAAACAGAATAGACTTAATGTAAGGTATAGAACAGCAGTGCCGTTGCCTTTCAGAACGTGTGCTGGGTTTCTCTTGCTGAGGATTTACTGAGTTGCTTGCCACTTTAGTCTTCCTCTGAAATATTTCTCCTGTGTACTAACTCAGGATACAGGGGAAGAAATATATGACCCAGTGTGCCTGTTCTGTCTTGCTAACCAGTCACATTTCAGTGTCCTTAGTCACCTAAAGCTCCTTCTCCAGGACTATTTCTGAAAAATAATACTTCAGATTGGCCAAGCCCAAGGAAAAAACAAATATGGTCTAGGAAGTACAGAAGCAAATTTTATATCTAAGAGTAAGCCTTCCCATTTGCAGGATCTGTGGGTAATGGACCATTCAGAAAGAAATGCTGGAGGAATTAGAGTAGATGGGTAAATAGCAATTAAAGTAATTATTGCTGGTACTGTCATATTCCACAGCGGATGTAAAGCTTATTCAAAAAGCTTTAGCTGATCTGTTTCTCTGCAGGATGCTCTATGCGTTCATTTATTGACTATATCCTTGGCCTGGGACTTCACACACAATCAAACACAGTTTGGGGTTTTATTAAGAATGTTTTACATGAATGTGCTTACAGAACATTTATGGTTTTTATAATAAAATAGTCTTTTTCCACTTGTTACGTTTACTCCTGAATTTATGCATAAGCACTGATATTTAGAATATGAATTTCTAGGAAATTATTTTGTAACAAAAGATTTTTTTTGGAATTTGGTTTTCAAAAAAATATATTTTGTATTATAACACTTGAGTGAATTTGAGTACTGAGCCATAATTTTCCCTTACTGATCTTAATAACTAATTATTTTGTGTCCTTTAGGTTAAAAAATTAAAGGGACAACTGGAAGAAAAGCAAAAGAATGGCAAGATGGAAAATACACAGTCAGAAGATGAAGTTCTGGAAAATGGGACAGATATGCACATGATTGACCTCCAAAGTGAGCTACATTTTGATTTTAAGAGAACTTTTGTGTTCTGCATGTGAGCGAGAAAATGTATCTGTACAATAAACCACATGGCTTAAAGTAGAAATGAGCCTGCAGTGCTAGGGGAGCTTCAAACTGGGCCAGCCATGCACCTCTGCTAGAGGTGAGGGAACGATTACCCTTTGTTTGAACAAGATTGTAATTGGAAATCTCACTTCTGTGTTCCCTAGAAGAGCTGGGGTGAGTTCCTGGTTAATTCTGCTTTCAGAGTGGTCAGAGGGGAATTGGGAGACTGGGAATAGTGCCTGTCTTCTGGGCACTTGCTACTCTACTGCTGCCCCAAGTAGATTCCTGTAGCATGGAAAAAAAATTTATGACAGGCTTGTTAGAAGACACTGTTGATACTTGTTCTGACATCTCTGATCAATCTGCAATTCTTTTAGGAGATGCCAACAGGCAGATCAGTGATCTCAAATTTAAACTAGCAAAATCTGAGCAAGAGATAACAGCATTGGAGCAGAATGTAAGTTTCTGGCTTGTTCTGTTTGTTTAGGCACAGTGAGAATGCAACGAGAAAGTCTATTTTATTATGTGATAAATGAAATCATGATTACTGTGATTTTCCCATAAAATAAGAAGCAGGAGTGTTGAAGACATAAAGACTTAAAATGCTTTCATTTATGTATGAGGAAGACTGAATAGATTGTTCATCTTTATTGAAGGAAAAATGTTCAGACAAAGGTATATCGAGAGTACTTACTGAACTCTTCAGAACTTTGTTATGCCTAGCTATTGACAATTTTTAAATGGCTCCTGGCATATGATGTATTATATATGGATTTTATACAAGACTGTTCAATTTTGACTGTTTGCTCTTGTCCAAGGTATGTCAGTGATACTCTTGCTAAGATAAATTTAGTCAATGGACTGTATTTTTTGTTGCTGGAAGCATATTAAATATGGATATGTATAAAAGGTCTGGGGTAAGTTACCATGGCCGGGCTTCTTTGGTTTGTTTTGGGTTTTTCCCCTCAAAATATGCCTTTATTTTGTTAAAGAAAAGTGACTATGTCTCTGGTTATTGCTTAACTACTAGTGGAACAGTAAAGCTTCAGAGTAACTTCTTGGTACAGCTTTTAATTCAAAAACTTTGCCTTCACCTTAGGTAATACGATTGGAAGGTCAGGTAGCCCGATACAAAACTGCTGCTGAAAATGCTGAAAGAGTAGAAGATGAACTGAAAGCAGAGAAACGCAAGCTGCAGAGAGAGGTAACTAAATGCAGACTGTCATAGGCTAGCAGTCAGCCAGCACCACGTGGGGGGAGACCTGTCTGGTGCATTTTAGAGGAGGAACTACCCTTCTTAGCAGAGCAAAGAATAAATGTCTACTTTTGTTGATGGCTTTAGTTATTCATTCTAACCAAACTTAACACACTCAAGCTGGAGTAACAGTCACAACTGTGAGCTCCCACTGCCATTTCACTATTCTTTCCTAAACTGACTTGAAGTGCTTTGCTTCGTACCAGAGCTGGTTCTCTGGACCGAACTCAAGTTCTACTTCAACAGCTTAAATCTAGAAGCAGCCTTCATGTGCTCAGGCTTGCATGCTGCTTTGCAGCTGTGACTGCTCCTGTGGTTTGACATTCATCAAGCTGAAGAACTTATACTTTGCTGTCATTGTCCTTTGTTACACCTGCAGGCTCATTGCTTTGGGTGTTACAAATTCTGGGTTTGTAAATCACTGGCCTTTTTAAAAGATGTCAATTTGGAAATTACAGCAGTAGAAAGCTGGAAATCCCACACCAAAGTTAATTTTGGCGCTTCTCGTTTAAGCACTGTCACACCCTACCAGGAATGACAGTCTGCTTTCAGTCTTCAGAATTTAAACCTGAGTGCTAAATGGATAGGAATCATTCTTATTGAGCCTAAGTATTCCTTCTGCTCTGCTTCCTATAAATATTGCTCCATGCAGTCCACCTCTCCCTACCTTCATCTTGTGGTGGACTTTATGGAAAACCAAGGCACCGAAGTCACAGCTGTGGCTGTAGTTCCAGGAACCAGAAACATAAAAGCCAGGCAGCAAGACAGACGTATGTCACCCAGCAGATACTTCTGAGCATCCATGCCTCTGAAGTTGAGGCAAACCCTGAGCCATTTGATCAACATTCTGTAAATACCTTGGATTCTTGGCACCATGCTTAGAAAATATCTCTGTGTGTGGCCTTCAGAGCGGATGCACAACATTTACTTTTAACTCTGCTAATGAGAATTTTCAACTGCTTTATCTTATAAGGAAGTGCCAGCAGTACGGTCAGTTAGTGTTGGTAACTACAAACCTTGCTTTATCTCTGAAAAGGGAAAACGCTTTGAAAGTTACAGGTGTTTTTTCTTTTTTTTTCTAATTCCTTCCTTCAGCTTCGTTCAGCATTGGATAAAACTGAAGAGCTTGAAGTCAGCAATGGTCATCTAGTAAAACGCTTGGAGAAGATGAAAGCCAACCGGAGTGCTTTACTGTCTCAGCAATAACGACCCCCTTTCGCTGCTCTTACTACTTGACAAAACCAGAACAACGTTGCAGATGCTTCTGGCTCTTGCTGTCCGGGATGCTTTGTGTCATGCCTTCTGAGAACAGACAACCCCAACATTTGCTACGTGCCACCCAGCTGTGGTTCTTTCTACGCAGATTCAAATCTACTGCACTGTACACATAGGAGTAGCTGATCCAAGTGGCTGTGCCTGCGGGAGCCCTTCTACACCGTTCTTTGGGTACATTTGAAGTACAACGTCCGTCTACCATGTAAGAAGCACATCGGGCATCGCATTAAGTTCTCCATCCAGAAGGCACAGCAGTCATTTATTGCCATTTAAAATGGCATTCAAAGAAAACACTTTAACTGGACTGGAATTTTGTGTCTTGCTGAAAATTTAAAAAAAAAACACTGTAAGTTTTGGACTTTCTTATGACAGTATCTGTAATTTAGTGACTACAGTAGAGTTATTCATAGTAGGTTTTTCATTTACAAATCACTGTGGAACCACAAGCCATTACAAAGCAAAACTCCTTCAGTGGAAACCATGGAAGAAGATGGTCTTGGAAGCAAAAGTGACCTTAAATGACTTTGCCAATAAAACAAAGGTGTTCGGAGGGATTTTTGCACCAGTGGAATCATAAGACTATTTTATTTCAGGGTAAATAGGCAATAGCTTCATTGAATTTTCAACTTTTATTTGTATTATTTAATCCCTGCTCTTGGAGTTGAAGTAAACTACTTTTAAGGATGTAAAGTTACATTAATAAACCAGCATAAGGCCATGTTTTAACAAATGGTGGGTTTTGCACTTAGATGACTCACTTTGGTGCATTTGTCAAAGCAAGTGTCACTTGCTTAAACAAAATATGTGGTGGGTTTTTTACATCAGAAACTATCTACTGGTCCATGAACTACTAGGAAACTATGCCGCTACAAAATACAAGTCTAATTTTTAAAAAAGTAACTGATAAGTAATGAAGCACTTTAGAAAATGTTACTGCCTATGTTTTTTCTACAAATACAGAAATAGTGAATTATTTCCTTCTAAGGTCATTATAAAGGTTTTCCACTTTTCATGAAAAATAACGTAACCAATTAAGATGTTGCAGGCAATTTATTATACACAACTAGCTCTACAGCTCTGGTTTATTGGAAATTATTCTGAATGTACTACTCAAAAGAAAACAGCAGTTACCTGAAGAATAAAGCTGTCCTTCCCCCTTCAGCCCTAACAGGAAAAAAAGCTTGCAAGTAAGGCAGGCAACCTGTCCCATAGGAATCTCCTCACCCTATGAAGCAGCATCTCCTGTTCCACAGGAGCAACCTTCTGTCGATGCCGACTGCCTCAATAGATATGGTTCCATCAAGCCAAATCCAGACCCGGGAGACCATTTCTTCTTAACTTGGTCTTCAGACCCTCTTTCCCTAACCTCTTCCTCGCAGACTGGAGGTTAGAGCATAAACCGCTGCTATTTTCAACATAAGGGGATCGTCAGTATCTTCTTAGAGCACCTTCGCAAATTAAATAAACCAAAACCAGTGTCTGAATGTGTTTTTCTGGTTTGGCTGGAAAATAACACCTTCCTCTTCATCTCTTTGGAGTGCACCCGGAAATTTAGGAATGAAGTGCTGAAATTAATATTCCAGGAAAAGGATGAAGAAGGCTTTTTTTTGTGCCCCTGGGGAAATAAGTATGTCCGTGTTGGTCAAATGTGGTGGAACGTGGGGATGAAAGGAATCTTTTAAATGAAATTTCCACTCCAGCTAGGGCTTTGGGGTTTGTTTTTGTTTTTGAGAGGAACATTCAGGTGCAGAGCCAGGTTTCTTGTGGAATACCTCAAAATCGCTGTGGATACCAATTTACAATTTTCTGTGGTTGACTTGTGTAATTTCTGGTGTACAAAGCCTCTGGGGCCTAAAAAAAAAAAACTAAGGGTTTTTCAGAATGCAAACAAATGTGCTAAATACATCTTACTAACTGATGATAAGGTGTGTGATTGCCACCAGTCATCTTTTCATTTGTGGTAGTGGTGAAAACTGTCTCTCCTGGCAAGATTTGGGAGAAACAACCTAGCAACTAAGCGTTGGTCCACAAGTCTAAAAATAATAATTTACTCATCAAGAAGTGATGTGTTTATCATTTCAAAGTAGACTGCATCTTACACCCCATCAGCATTAACCTCATGACAGAAATCAGATGTGTATTTCAACCTGGATATGCTCTTAATAGAACTCTTCGTGTGTGATAAAGTAGCTGAATGTTGAAACCACATTTTTTTCCCCCCTAACTTTCAGTATGACTTAGCTTTAGAATAAGGGAAGAAAAAGTACTGTTTGTTTAACTGCAAACTGTTTTTTGTTTTCCTGTGAAGAATGTACGACAGGGCTTTGAATGGTAATAATAGCACATGTCCCAGTCCTTTTAATTGAGCTCCAAACAAGAGAGCCTCGGGGCCCAGCCCGCTGACTCAGAGCGGAGCCGAGGTGGTGGCAGCCTGGCGAGGAATGGCTCTTGGGGTAACCAGGAGGGGTTTTCCTAGAATTTGTATTTAAAATTGTTATCCTTTGTTTTATTTTTAAATAATTTTATTGTTTGCAAATGGAATGTTACCCAAAATGTGTTTTGTTTTTTTTCAATCAAACTGTTAGGAGATACGAGTGTGGAAAAGGAAATTCATTAGCAGAACTCGCCAATAAAGATGTCACTTGTTTGGGTAGTTTTTATTGAGTGGTCTGTCATGATGATGTTCTCTTGAAAAATACAGACTTTTTGGATGATACTGGTGTAACAGCTCCTTTTCCTTTTTTAATATATTCTGCAGACAAACAGATGTGAGCAGTGCTGGTTGTAAAATGTACAACAGCCGGGGTTTGTGTGATTAAGGACACATTTTTAATGGCAGGGTGTGCTTGGGCAGGGGGAGGACAGGGACAGCATCCCAGCAGGAGGAACGTGAACGGTATTGCTAATTGGATTCACTCTCTGCTTAGGAGAGTATTTATGAACATATAGGTAATCCACATACTAATTTCCCCTGGAAGAATCCTTCACAACAGGAGGCAGATTGCTTCATCAAAAACATGTCCATTTTAGTTTTAAATTTCATCTTGCAGTGATCATGGGGGTTGCCATAAAGAGATCACTTAGATGAAATAGTACACAATGAGGGGCAGGTTCGTGCTTGTCTCCGCTTTTAAATGCTCTGAACAATTGATTCTATGGGGTTGGGGGGTTGTTTTAGGCAGCTAGGTGATGTTCTGCACTCTCCATTCATTACTTTACAGGTATGTTTTTAATGGAGGGAGCAGGGCCCAGAACCAATGTTGTAGTGTATGCTGCTGCGTAGCAGGTTTTTAGTGGGCGACGTTCCCCACTTCACGGTGTTCGTCTCCACTGCCTGTACCATGCTCCTTCAGACTGAAAACCCTCCAGCTGCCGAGGGGGGTTAGTAAAGCGTTGGGGGAGCCCCGTGCCGCCCTGAGGGCGCCGCAGAAGGGCGCGGCCGCCCCTCGGGTAACATGGCGGCGGGTGGGGGGGGCAGCACGCGGTTGGCGCGGGCGCCGCGCCGGCCAATCAGGCTCTGGAGCGCGGCCCGTCGCAGCCAATGGGCTGGAGGCGCGGCCAGGGAGCGCGTGCTCCGCGGGGT